CCTACGTGTAATTTAGCTTCAATCTCAGAAACAAGAACCACTTTTTTTAAAGGTTGTGATATAAATGCTGTAATAATATGAAATATATAAGTTATACTCAATTCAATAATGACTTGGGAAATTTAACTATGACAATACTAGTGTTAATCCGTATCACAAGGCATTATAATTAACGCATGTCTACGTGTCATCAAAGCCCAGATTATAGTATATAGAGATTTTGTAATAACAATAATAAACAAAGTCTATTCACGTAAATCGTTGGAAAGAAAACAAAAGACCTGAATATAGAATTAGATCACGTAAATGATATGTGCACTATTTATATATTCCATCGGTTTCAATTTGGATTTAAAAAAAAATATTGCTAAAAAAAACAGCATTCAAAGCTTAATAACTATTAGATATTAAGTAATGTTGTGAATGTTGTATGTTAAATATAGGAAATGCATCGTTAACCGCAGAGTGGCTGTTTCGAATCAGTGGCATTGTTAAGAAGAGTAGGTCAACTGTATGCCATGCCATTGTCCAAAGCCAAAAGGTGAAAATGTTGCACATTTGAATTCTGAACTCAACATCTCTGTTGCAAAACAAACATCTTAAACATCACCTAGAAGAATAGCGACAAAATAAGGAGATGAAAATGATACTTTAAATTGTATATTAAATCGCCCCTCCTCTCGCGGACCACGGGATTTCATGGAAACCGTGACTGGTTGTGAAGCTCGCTGCAAATGTCGATGGGGGAACAAAGTAACATAATATTTACAGGAACATTAGCGTTGTTTAAAAAACAATATACAACTTTCAGGTGAGATTTTGAAAACTGCGACTTGTCGAACAGCAACGCATGTAACACGCACATACAGGTACACGCATGTAACACGGACATACAGGTACATGCATGTAACACGTATACAGGTACACGCATGTAACATGCATACAGGTACACGCATGTAACACGCACATACAGGTACACGCATGTAACACGGACATACAGGTACATGCATGTAACACGTATACAGGTACACGCATGTAACATGCATACAGGTACACGCATGTAACACGCACATACAGGTACACGCATGTAACACGCATATGGTTACGTTTCAAATATGCTTGCGAGCTGAATGAGGAGTCGTGTTAAAAAGAAGAGAGTGATACACATCAAGCACCGAACATTAAAACAAAATCGTAGCCCAAGTTTATGCCAAATGCAATATGGAAGAATTCGGCGCGTGAAAGTGTGCGCGGTTTGGTAGTTCAATGCCTCCGTATGATTTTTCGACGTGTATTTTTACGCGTATTTCAGAAATCAAAACACACACTCCTTTAAAATTACAATACACAGCAGATAGATATTACTACGTGCAAATTAAGTGTAACAAAAACAATATTAATAACAAATCTCATCATCTCGGCCTGACTCGTGTTTTGAGTCAACTTAGGGGGTTCGTTCCTCCAAATTCCTGGCATGAACTTGTCCAACTTCCCACAACATCTACAATGCTGTGATAAGTGCGGTGCTTTATCGACTCTTTGGGGCTGCAACAGCCGCAGTAAATGTGCAAACTCTGCTCAGATATCCTCCCTTCCACAAAACGAATAACTACTGCATGTCTACCACTAGCTCGTCAGGCCTATAATCGTACAGAGCTGTACTCATGCACTGCAGTGTACACGTACGGTACAGGCCGTTCGTCAATCCACCACTGAATGAGGGCCTCCCCGTGACGTGCGGTTTGTGGGGGTTCTTTGTCCACACTTTGTCACGCTGGTCAGTGCGTGTTGGTGGAGCATAGAGGTATAGTACAACCCTACATGCTGCTCGCTGCCCTCTGCCTTACTACCGAGGAGCACGCTACCGCCACCGCCGCCTCCGATGGCAACCTGTTTTGCAGCGTGGTCACCCACCCACCCAAGCATCGTCCTGGCACAACTCTGATCATTTAGTGACGCGCTGCGCCATCGTACACGATTGACAACATCGTGTATCGATGTGACGAATGAAAACGTGGAGGGCGTCCTTTGCGTGATGATGATCGGGTCTCTGTCGTGAACAAAACATATTTAGTTTCCACAAACACGTGGCAGTTTCTCCATGAGTGCATCTCATCTCCCTCCCCGGACTTCAGAACTCCTCCTGACTTTTCATTTTTAAATCCTTTATATTATTCAGCTCACTTGCTTGCTTGCGTGCGCGCTTACGACCGTGCAAATCTTTCGGTCGTTTTTTAACCCATTTCCCGTGATCCAATCGAGCTGACATTTTGCACACAGACTCGTTGTGCGTGACAATTTATTTTCCTGAACATTTTTCCCAAAATTTTTTACTTTTTAGGAATATTTTTTTCATAATTAATTTAAAATACCAATGTGATAAAAATGAAACTCTTACTCAAGAAAAACAGAAATGAATAATAAAATAAAACCGATGACACGCATATAAAGGATTTATAGTGAAAAACCTTGTTTTTACGGGTTAATTTTTTAAAACCTCAAACTCCCTCCCACCACCCCATCTTCAAACGCTCTCCAATGTGCACGTGTTACCACTTTGTCCAGCATCTTGAGACGCAGTCGCAGACTGTTGTTGCATTTCCAACGAAGGTGGCTTTCCATGCATTCATTACGGAATGGGGTGAGAGCATCGATTCGTTACAATAAACAACAAATTCTGCTTTAATAATTAGTACTGAGCAGTCATTATACTCTCCCTGAGCCAGCCAGCCAGCTCCAACAACTATTATTTTAACGTGGAATACAATGGCAGTTTGTTTAAATAGGATTTACATTGAGAAAATGTCTTAGACACCCTGATCCAACCCGTGCCTCTCTCTACCTCGCAGTAGCGATCGGCAGGTTGCATTTAGTGGGGCAAAGTGTGGGCACTCCCATCCGTGCATGTTGAACTTCTATCGCACCGTACGTAGCCAGCTGTGCTAATCGTAGGTGCGGGATAAAGTATAGCTCTTCCGAGATGCCTATCCAGCGTGGAAGAGTAGGCCAAAAACACCCTCTAGTGCTGTCTCTGGTGGAGGCCCATCCACCAGCGGTGGCATGGGCGAGTACTTTCAAAGTTGCACCTTTAACCTTTTAAAATCATACGTAAACCCCAGTATTGTAATCCTGTCTCTGTATATCAACATCGCCATTGGACGGCTCCTAGGCCACCCATCCAGCTCCAGTATGTGGTTTTTTTAAATGCTGCAAACCGTGGCAGTGCAAGGATTAAATGCCGAAAATAAATAATTATTTGATTGTCCTCGCGAATTTTAATGGAGAAGTGCATGGTACATCCAACATTCCTGTAACCCGGTCAAAATAAACATCCACGACCAATAATACAGTCCAATAAAATAGCAGTTTACATAGGTCAAAACATAATGGACAGCTTAAAAGTTCTACATGTGTGACCCAGATAATGCATAGAGGGCAAAGCAGTGAACTAATGTCGTTAATACCAGTACTCTTTATATTTGTAAAGCGTTGGTCATGCAACTTGCATCTCACGATTGATGAGGAACCACAGGCCAAGCTGCAAGGGTGCCAGCCAGTGAGCTGGCGCCAACAATTGCCCAAGCTCTGCAGTCCAGACAATCGGTGAGTGTTTCTACACGCGTGGGAGGATACCGGAGCACAGTGCAAAAAAAAAAAACACGTGTGCGGTGGGGAGAGGGGAGGCACTCGATCCCCATGCAGACGGAACAGGTGGAGTCCACAGTTGCTGCACCGCCTCGATACCCACGGGAAGGGAGCATGACAACATCTGTGCGATCCACCACTGGATTGCAGGCCACGTGCATAGCCACCACGGCGACAGAGAGCAGGGGCAATACGTATGTGCATGCAAGACGAAGGGGTTGATTTAAATAGCATGCTACAAAGGATAGCTCTTAGATTTACATACTTGGAGAGAATTGGAACGATGGCAAAAGTGAAATCAGTTTCAGATATTAGGAACAGCACAGGAGGTGTGATCACTTATTGCAAAACTCCCCCCCCCCCCCCATGAATTAGAGGTTACAACGAAAAGGCAATAGTTGACGAAGCAGAGGGAGTGCGGGGCTGGAATAAATAATTGGAACGTACGACCTATTAAGTTATACATAAAATACAAAGACTCGTTTAATTGGACACAATTAAAACAAACGGTGCCTTCGGAACTGGACGTCTCACACATGTGGTTGAGGACGGTGACCTCCGAGCTCTGCGCGGACATCAGAGAGTGGCAACTCCACCGCTTGGGCCGTACGGACGCTGCGGTGGACAACGAGGGGCCGTCGTCGCACCTGCCACACATCCAGCACCTCATTCTGAAACTTGCACCAGCAGCAGCAGCACCAGCAGGTACACCAGCAACACCAGCAGCATCAGCAGCAGCAACACCAGCAGCATCAGCACCAGCACCAGCAACACCATCAGGTACACCAGCAACACCATCAGGTACACCAGCAACACCAGCACCATCAGCACCAGCAGCAACAGCAGCACCAGCAGCATCAGCATCAGCACCATCAGCACCAGCAGCACCATCAGCACCAGCAGCAACAGCAGCATCAGCATCAGCACCAGCAACACCAGCAGCATCAGCAGCATCAGCAGCAACAACAGCAGCAGCAGCAACAGCATCATCACCATCAGCAGCAACAGCAGCAACAACAGCAGCAGCAACAGCACCATCAGCACCAGCAGCAACAGCACCAGCAGCACAGTCAGCACCAGCAACAGCAGCAACACCAGCAGCAGTAGCAGCAGCAACAGCAGCAGCATCAGCAGCAGCAACAGCAGCACCAGCAGCAGCATCAGCAGCAGCAACTACACCAGCAGCAGCAACAGCAGCAGCAGCAACAGCAGCACCAGCAGCAGCAACAACAGCAGCAGCAGCAACAGCAGCACCAGCAGCAGCATCAGCAGCAGCATCAGCACCAGCAGCAGCATCAGCAGCAGCAACTACACCAGCAACAGGAGCAGCATCAGCAGCAGCAACAGCAGCACCAGCAGCAACAGCAGCAGCAGCAACAGGAGCAGCAGCAGCAGCTCTCTAATGCGGCATTAGCGAGCTGCGCATTGCGTGCCATCCCAGCCCAAGGCTGGCAGGAATGATTTTGACACGCTTCTACCCTCCGTGCAGATAAAGCAACACCGATGTCTCTCTCGTCAATGTCATTTAAAACCCGTTGCCTCAAAGCAGTTCAGATGTCGGCAGCGGCCAAGTTGAAATATGCTTAAAATAACTTCACTCGAGTGTGCACATGTGCCATCACGTTTGCGGGCTGTTTTTTTTGTTTCATCTCAACGAATGAGGGTCTTAGGACAGCACTTGTCAGCTCTTTGTAATCCAGGTGTGTTGCTTTACGATTGAGCAATTCCATCGTCCCCTCCACGTATTGAACCCTGGCCGTGTGTGTCCAGGGCTCACCGTCCCCGTGCACGCTTTCTTCACGCCCAGTCCTCGCTTAACGCGTGGTGTTACACTAAAGGCGCTTTCGCTAAAAGCGCGGTTCTTCCACGAGGGATCACTTGTCGCGCAGCGCGGAACGCATCCCCCCCCTTCCTCCCCGTTATAACGCGGTTTCTGAGCGGTCGACGACGAACGGCTTTCTCGAGCTGCGCGGCTGAGCGGTACGAGACTTTGTGCACGATGAGATAGTAGCGTAGTGGCGTAGCCTCAGTTCTTTGTGCCGCCATCTCAATGCGCGTGCGTCCATCGTATCTCGCCAAGTTTTACCGTTACGTTATTTATGGGGAAATTGTATTAGCTGAATGTTTGAATGTTGAAGTTGTTTTGTAACGTACGTAGCCAGCCGTGCTTATCGGAGGTGCGGGGGAAGTACAACAAACTAAACAAACAAGCAGTTCTCAAGAAATGAGTTTTCAATCTAGATTTAAAAGTGCATAGCTCCGGTGGCTTCCTAATATCAGAAGGAAGAGCGTTCCAGACGGCCGCAGACGTGCATCTGAAAGCGCGCGATGCAGTGGCCGTCTTTGTTCAATGGGTAGCCAAAAGCCGCTGCGAGGATGACGGGAGTTCGCAAGGTGTTGTGGTCCATTTGTGTGCCAGCATTTTGTGTATAACGAGTTACTATCTTACAATGTATTCGTTCACTTTTCCGGAACGCATCTACCGCATTAAGCGAGGACTTTACCGTGGCAGTTCCGGGTGGGTGCTTTGCACATGGGCCTGCTACATCGCTAAATGCAACACTAAGCCTTAACTTGGGAAGTATATCCCCTCTGCGCTGCAATGATACTTCTTCAACGGAAGCAATGAGAATTCTACGTACGTTACCACTACATAGGCAGGTGTATTTTAAGCAGAGCCAACTAAACGTGCCCGCGCGTGTCCGGGACTTTTCACTGCCATGTAATCGAAGCGTCGGCATTCTCCTGGTGTGTCGTCTCCGGAGAATGTGAGCGCTGGAGAAACAAGTGGTCAGGCGTTCCTCCCGATTCGTGATCAACATACGCGTTTAAGCTTTCTTGACTGGCAAACCCTCTTGTATATTGGTGGTTTAAGCAAAACAAAAAAACGCACAATTTTCAACACTTTATTGCATTGCTTTTTCTGACCGTTCCTCGACTCTGTGCCTGGCTCTATTCGTCTCTGACTTGAGGATAGCGTTGACCCTACAATTTGGGCGATGCGTCAATTTCAAATGTGTTACTATTTCCCGTCTGTCTCAAGTGTCATCTCAATAAAGCTAACGCATGCTCACATGGGGCCTGCACAGATGATCATTTGTGATCTGCAGGCCACTGTTTGGGCTTTCATCAGCTACATGAAAACAAAGATTCCTACATAAGAGTGCATATGTCTCCGGAAATTGCAGTACATCACGAAACATGTTGGTAAAGAAACAAGAAAGAGTAATGGCTTCGTGCACAATCAAACATTGTCTCCAATTAATAGCTGATCAAATCACATTGTTGGAGCTTAACACGCGGATAGCGTTGACGCATATCCGCATCTGCGAGACCATAATTTAGCAGAGCCCTTGGAAAATTCCATTCCGAGGGCCATCCTTTCCTCTAACTTCGTAGAAAGCGTGTCTCTGTACGTGAAGGGTCGTTCGTCAAGCCCGTTTAATGTTCACACACGAACGCGAGCACGACGCAGCGCCACTTTACAGCCAGGACCCCGACTCACCTTGGACGCTTCTAATCGTCAAAACCCCCGTCAAACCGATAGACCCCATTAACGATGACACGTTCGAAACTGCACGGCAATGCGGTTAGATGTCCCGTATCAGTTATCTTTTGCTCCATTCGTTGCTACAGGACTACCAAGCGGTTTGAGGTTTAACGTTGAGAGAAAAGAAAAACACATTCCAGTATATACCCCCCTCCCTCTCCACAAACCAATCTGAAGCCTCAATTGAAGATGGTGCAAAGCAATTCCCCCCTTTGGCTACGTAGCCAACGGTGCTTCAAGTGTCGGTTATTGTAAGGACGTCAGGTGCAGCGTCGATGACGGTCGCATGGTCGACCATCACGACCGCTCCGTTCCCCCTTCCTCTTCACCACTGACCGAGGGATGACGACGGCTCATCCGCAGGACGAGTGTCAAACGCGCTCTCTCTCTCTCCCTTAGTCCTTCTCGGGAACCGCCTCTATTGGGGAAGAATCTCCCCACCGTTCACCCGTCTGCTCCCACGTGACAGGGTCCAGACGCACGTCAACGTGCGGCTCGGGGTGTCGCAGCAAAGCACTCCGTGGTGCGCCGCGGTGGAATCGCGCTTCAATGAGACTTGGGACGACGGCAACAACGACGACGATGACGACGACATGCAACGTAACGACGAAGCGAGGGAATGCATTGCTTGAGGATGACGCGTTGACTTGACTCTAGCACGGCCAGGGCTAAGTGGGGCCACGCGATCAGACGGTGATCGGGCAGACGATGACGCGGTCCTCCAGAAGCACGCTCGTCACCAGGAAGACCAAGTAGAGCAAGAACATGATGCCTCCCAGTGCCTTGTTCATCTTCCAGCCGCAGAGAGCGATGGAGATGATGACGAAGAGTAGCATGAGGAAGAGCAGCACGATGGCGCAGAAGAGCCCGTTGCTGCTCACCTTCACCGGTTCGAACGAGTGGAGCATGGCGAAGAGCAGCCAGGGAAAGGGCAGGCTGCACGGAGGACATTGGGAACGTGGAAGAGGAGGAGAGAGAGAGAGAGGAGAGAGGCAAGGAGAAACACGTCAGTGGATGATGTCTCGTCGAAATGAAGGTGCGACTTAGAACAGAACCAATTGGTGCGTTTTTAAAATTTGTATCGTCCGTCAGCCATAGTCAATTCACTACTCAGCGAAGGCCTCTCCAAGCTGTTGCCACCTCGCATGACCCTGCGCTGTAACAATCCATCCAGTGCCTGCACAAGAGCTAATTGCTCCGTCTCCTCGGTGGGACATCCTCTTGGACGCGCCCCATTTCCTGGCTGCCGTTCCGTCAGCATTCTTGACCATCGCCAATTATTGCTTTCAGATGTGTCCTGCCCTTTGATTGACGTTTTAACACATGACCGAAATGATATCAATCGTTGGTAAAGAAATGTTTGATATTTACTTCTGGTAAAAAATAAAAATAACCTATTCACCTGTCTCTCTTTAGATTAATGTAACTGGATAAACCTTTACAGAAAATATATCTATCACATTTGACTCTCTCACCGGGTGTCGTCAAACTACCCAGGAGCAACTCCCACAGTGTATCAAGCGTGGTAGCATGGATCTGCCCGTTTAATGGAGATCCCACCTTGCCAGTGGAGTTGGCAGAGGATTCCCAAGGTAAAAACAAACAAAATAACTTTAAACTAGGTTTAATTTTACCAGTTAAGGCCCACTGAGCTATATAGGTATTTTCAGAAGTGACCTGGCCACAAATGATAGTTCAACGAAGTGGCTTAAATTATGTGGAAATTTATAGCAGCCAAATACCCTGAATGCCTTTTGATTTTAAATGCGGAGAGAAAAAACAGAGAAAACAATCCACGCAACTATGGGGAGAACATGCAAACTCCCAATATACAGGCGTCAGGGTCGGGATCAACCTTTGGGTATTTCCGTAAAGTCACGTAGATGGGAACCCGCTCGTAGGTTCCAGAAGGGGGGCGTGGCCTTGGGGGCGGAGCCAGGCCACGCTGGCAGTATAAGAGGGGCCCTGGGCGGGGACCTCGGGCTGTCGTTTGGAGTGGGATCTGCGTCATCATCGTTGCTGCTGAAGTTCGTCACCATCGTCGCTGTCGTCTCCACTTGACATTGCGCTGCTAGACATAGTTGGCTGTCTCGGTTCAGCACCGTCAGTGTCAGAAGGCTAGCGTAGTGTGTAGGCTAGCAACCAGTGTAGAGTTGCGTTTAAGCGAGAGACAGCAGAGTGTGTAACAGTGTAGGCTGTGTATTGTATAAAGTGTACAAAGTGTGCTCGGTGTTTAATTAAAGAATTGCCTCCAAGAAGTTACGTCTCCAAGTCAGTCACTAGACATACATTAAAAAAACACATTTCTCTTTGGTTGTGACATTTTTCTTTAAGCAAGAAAAAAACTAGGGAAATGCATCTTGGCAACAATTCTCAAACTTTTCATTCAATAACCCACTGAGTGTGATTATACAAGATATTGCAAGACATAATAATCAGCGATATATCAATATAAGACAATTAGAAAATATTTATGGAGGCAGTCTGCTTCCAATGATGAAGACAAAGTGTTGGACACTAGAAAGCATGCAGGCATTTCGCAGAAATTAATTCCTGGAAAGATAATAAAATGTTGAACACCCCAACGTTGAAATCGAAATCATCTCGCGTTTATAGGGTTGCCAGGAGGAGCATTGCGGGCCAGTAATAGAGACGCTGATTTAAGCCGGTTTACATTATTTCTTTCCTTGATGCATTACCGGTCGCTGTCAATATGACTGTCGCTTGGCGACAAAAAGGTTGATTAGAATGCATGCCCCAAAATGCAAGCTGTGTTGCACAACTCGAATCTCCTAGGTTACGAGCTGCAATGCGTGATGGCTGATGGGCAAAGGAGTTTTCGTTGGAGCTTTCAGCAGCTGAGACGCGGCGACCTGTGCACACTGCAGAATTGAACCTTTGCAAATGGGTGCAATCTGCGTGATTATTTTGACGCACTGAGCCGTGTTTTGTTTTCAATGTCACTAATTTATTTTTAAATGCGGTTTCCGCTTTCCTTAATTTACAACATCGTTTGTATTTATGTAGCTTTGCGTGCTCCGTTGCTTAGTGCATGGCTTTCTCATTTTAATTACTTTGTGTTTAGTTGTTTTGTTTATTGCAAAGTGACATTGTTAATTGAAATGGAATCTCTATGATCCTGAATTTAATCTCGGCAGCCACCTGCAACTAAACCAAATTCTTGAGGGTAGCGAGTTTATGATCTCAGCTTGCTCGCCAATGACAACACAAAACAACTGAGTTCAATTAGATTTTTCATTAAATTCATTTTTGGGCACACAACATGTTAACTCTGTTGCGATGTGATTAACAATCGCTCCCAACGCATATAATATGGACAGGCAAATGTGTAGCCTTGCAATGTTTTGCTCACGTTACTGCTGGCAGCTGTGAGATGCCAGCTACCTCGCCTGGTATACAGGAGGTCGTGGGTTCGATCCCGACCCTTATGCCTGTATATTTGGAGTTGGCATGTTCTCCCTATGGTCACGTGGATTTTTCTCCGGGTCCTCCGTTGTTTCGCTGCACCTTTAGAAACATGCATTTAGAATATTTGGCTGCTATAAATGTCGACGTGATAAGCCACTTCGTTGAGCTATCATTTGTGGCCAGGTCGCTTCTGAAAAACAGTTCCATAGCTCAGTGGACCTTACTTGGTAAAAAAAAAACAAGAGAGGGAGCTTGAGAAATCTCCTCCGTGCTGGCAAGAAAGTTTTGGAATAAGTATAACCCGTAAAAACAAAGTTTTTCACTCTAAATCCTTTATATGCGTGGCGGCTAGAGTCTTCTCGTCCTCTGGCTTGAGATGGCTGCCACCTATGGGTCAGATGATTGTCTGCCAGTATTAAGCAATTGGTAATTAAATATTTAATTTGTTTTCACTAAACAGTGTCAAATTTTGGAAAAATGTTCACGAACATTAATTGTCTCGCACAACGAGTCTGTGTGCAAAATGTCAGCTCGATTGGATCACGGGAAGTGGGTTAAAAAACGACTGAAAGATTTGCACGGTCGTAAGCAAGCAAGCAAACACGCAAGCACGCAAGCACGCAAGCACGCAAGCAAGCAAGCGAACTTAATATAAAGGATTTAAAAAGTGGGATTACCCACAATTTTTCTCGCAACATTCGACCTGCAGCTCAATTAATTTTTGGGGTACACAGGGATACCGCTGGCTGGACAGAGGCGGTGGGATTTAAGAAACCAGCCCCTTGTTTCAACCACAGCGTCAGGAGATGGAACCGGCGGCCTCTGGATTGCAAGTTCAGTTCGCCCAACCGTCGCACCACGGTAGCATCCAGCATTGATGAGCAATCTTTTGAAGTAACTTCGAAATCAGTTGTTCAATGGCATCTTCTGGAATGTGTGTCTTTAACATCAGCTGATGCACTCGTCGTCAAGTGGATTTCGTTTAACTTCGTGAGAACTCAAGGAGACCAGGAAGAGCCTCATTTGCAAGACTGACCTGAGTCACGAACGTGATCAAACGCGACGAAAAGCAACAAGAGCATCAATGACGTTAAGCCTCGTGTGGTGGTGTGTGTGTACGGGGCGTGTCGTGAGTGGTGAGCGTGGTGTCAGAGGTGTGTGTGTGTGGTAAGTGGTGAGTATCTGTGGTGAGTGTGAGTGGTGTGTGTGTACGGGGCGTGTCGTGAGTGGTGAGCGTGGTGTCAGAGGTGTGTGTGTGTGGTAAGTGGTGAGTATCTGTGGTGAGTGTGAGTGGTATGTATGTTGAAACTTATTTCGCAACGTAACGTAGCCAACCGTACTAATAAGCGATGTAGCGTGTCTGGTGTGTGTGTGTTTGGTGAGTGTGAGTGGTGAGTATCAGTGGTGTGTATGTCGCATGTCTGGGGTGTGTGTTTGGAGAGTGTGAGTGGTGATTATCAGTGGTGTGCATGTCGCGTTGTCTGGTGTGTGCGTTGGGCAAGTGTGAGCGGTGAGTATCAGTGGTGTGTATGTTGCGTTGGGCAAGTGTGAGTGGTGAGTATCAGTGGTGTGTATGTTGCATGTCTGGTGTGTGTGTTTGGTGAGTGTGAGCGGTGAGTATCAGTGGTGTGTATGTTGCGTTGTCTGGTGTGTGCGTTGGGCAAGTGTGAGTGGTGAGTATCAGTGGTGTGTATATTGCATGTCTGGTGTGTGTGTTTGGTGAGTGTGAGCGGTGAGTATCAGTGGTGAGTATGTCGCATGTCTGGTGTGTGCGTTGGGAGAGTGTGAGCGGTGAGTGAAGTTCTCAAAGGAAACATGTTCATCTCATGACTCCGTTCAAACACAGTTTGCTGAGCACAGGCCCAGAGGCCCAAAGTATCAAGCGGCCAGCAACAAACAGCACCATTGCAGGGGTACATCGACTAGAGTCTGCGTGCACGTGCTGAAGCCCACCCAATGGTGATGTCGAAGATGTTGCTGCCCACGGAGCTGGAGACGGCCATGTCACCCAGTCCCTTGCGAGCGACGATCACGCTGGTGATGAGGTCAGGGATGGAGGTTCCTGCTGCCAGGATGGTGAGGCCCATGATCTCCTCCGTGATGCCAATGGTCTCTCCCACCTGAGGGTCAAAGGAGGAGATGTGAGGATCCTGTAAGTCGGCATCTCACTGCCAGGAAATGAGGACATTTTGGTGAGATGTCCTCTATTTAACAAATGTATATATATTGCATAATATTTGATTGATATGCTACACACGCACGAGTGAGTATTGAAGTCTACTGTGGTATTTGTGAAACGTTAGGCAGACACTCAGATTCCCAGACGACGTTGGTAAACTCTGAAGTTGTATCATAGAAAGTAGATATGCACATAGCATCTTCACCAACTGATTTGTAACTGCGGTTTTACACGCTGTGTGTGTGTGTGTCTGTGCATATGTAGTAAGTATATGGAGGCTTGACGACAGGATCGGAGGCACACTTATTTATTACACCAACACAGTTATTACAGGTCACTGGGCTACAGGGATTTCTCGACAGCTAACCCCTCTAACCTATACCAATTCCTCCACTACGGAACTAGGGGAGGCTATCTGTCCCAGCTTGGTTAAGCTGGGATCCCGGCTCCCTGAGTCACCAGACCAGCTTCGTCTGGGCTCTCGGGGCCACGCCACCGGCTTGCCCTGGTCGGCCCTTATAAGGACAGCGAGCCAGGGGAGCTCTGGGGCCTACACTAGCAGGTCTTCCGTCTTCTCTGGTTAAAGCTGAGTCCCGACCTCGAGCCCTCGAGCTCATCACCTTTTATAGGACTCCCCCCGAGGGGGGGCCCGTGGGGGACGCACATTCGGACGTCGGTGCGAGCGCCACCCTTGTGTACGGCCGTAACCCCGCCCCTTGTGTTTGTTGGCCATCCGTGGCCATGCATAATCACACCTCAACATTCGTAGCCATGCGCAATTACACCTCTACATCACCCCCCCTTGTACAGCTCGCAGCCGTCCCTGGCTGCAAAAAAAACGTGAATAAAGGTGCATACCTCACGAAAACCCCGTGTGTGTGCCTCGCGTAATTTTTAACAAGAACAAGAGAATCTTAACAAGAACAACAACAGGAAGAGAGAGAGAGAGAGAGAGAAAAAAAATAACCCGACGCGCTCCCCCCGAATAAACACCCCAAAACCAACATATATACACACTCCGGACGCCACCCCTCCCATTGTCCGCAAGGCCCCCCAACGGCCGACCTCACAACAGTCTGCGCGTTTTGGCGCGCGTTCTCGCGGCGGGCCCGTCACAAGGGCCCGTCCCGGCACGCTCAGTGACGGTTGTTGACGGTCCGGGTACAAGAGAGTCAGGCGTCGCTGCCGAGTGACCCCCGACCCCTCCGGGAGAGGTTGGTGGGTGTGGACCCGTCACTCCTGTTGCACCTGGGGACGGAATAGTTGATGTCAAGTTAGGCGAGCGCAGCGACGCCGGGGAGTCGGCGGAACCCTCACACGTTTGGCCATGCGTGTGTGCGTGTGAACCCCGGGGCGGCGCGATGAATGGTTTCAACCTTGAGGGGTGCACATACCACCGGCGCCTCCCCCACTTGACGCGAACACACTGCGGCCGCAAGACCTGTACGACCTCCACTGGCCCCCGCCACGGCCGTACCAATTTCGACGAGGTTGCCAGCGGCACCTGGGGACAGTGCAACCACGCCTTGTCCCCCGGTTTCCATTTTACCACCTGTACCCGCCCCAACCGAAGCCTCTCGTTCGCCTTCTGGCGGAGATCAGAATTTTGCGCGGCCGCTTCCCGCGCCTTAGACAATTTGCTGATGTTAAATTTAACGTGTTCGGACAAGTTAGACTTCGCCTGGGGCGCCGAGAGCTTGAGCTGGGTTGCCACAGGGGGGTTTGCCTCGCGCCCATACATTAAAAAGAAAGGGGAAAACCCGGTGGCCGCATGGGGAGCCATTCTGTAGGCCTGCAACACCCCGGCTATACGAAGGTCCCAATCTGTCTGGGATACAGACACCTGCTGGGACAGCATAGACGAGATGGTCCGATGCAGCCGTTCCACCATCCCGTCAGTTTGTGGGTGATACGGAGAGGTCCGAACCTTCTCCGTACCCAAGAGGTCGCACACCTCGCGTAGGAGTTTACCAGAAAAATTCCTACCCTGGTCAGTAAGCAGCCGTTCCGGAGCACCCTTGTCGAGGACATAGCCCTGGACAAAGGCCTCCGCGATGGCCGCTGCCGACTGGTTGGCCAGGGGCCAGGCCATAGGCCATCTCGTGAAGTACTCCACCCCCGTTAATAAATACCTATTTCCCCTGGGCGTAGCGGGAAATGGGCCGAGTATGTCCAGAGCGACGAGCTCGTTAACCCGGGAAACCTTTATGGACTGCAGCGGAGGGTTGGACCCCCTAGCAGGTGGCTTCCTCTGCGCGCATTGCGCGCACGACCCCAGGAGATCCCCCACGTCCTTTGCCATGCCCGGCCAGAAGAAATCTAGCTGGAGCGTGGCAAAGGTCTTGTGAATCCCCAAGTGCAGAAGCCGCTCATGAACAGCCCATACCACCTTACCCCTTAATGCTGCAGGCACCACGAGCCGCTGGCGGTGGGTTTTCCCATCCCAGTGCATTAAAAGACCCTGGAACAACCCCCACGAGTCAACGTTCGCCACCCCCTGACCAGCCCCCCCGACGCGACGGCGCAGAGCGAGGAGGGAGGTGTCCTCCATTTGGAGGCGTCCCCATTCCGCGACCGACAACCCCAGCAACGAATCTCTCCCTTCTTGCTCGATAGGACCCGAAGCTGAAGGCGCATCGGTAGCGGCCACGAGGACCGAATCGGTGGTGACGTTCGGGGGCCTACAACGCCCCGAACCCAAGAGGCACGCGCACTCCGAAGTGGGTGGCAATCGTGACAGGGCGTCAGCGTTCGTGTGGCGGACACCCTTACGATATGTGGTGACAAAGTCATAGTCTTGGAGGATCTCCAACCATCGAGACAACTGGCCCGATGGTTGTTGAACCCGCAGGGCGTACTGTAGTGCTGCATGATCTGTACGGACGGTGAATCGCCGACCGTACAGATACGGGCGGTACTGCTGAATAAAATAAACAATCGCCAATAATTCCCGACGGGTAACGCAGTACCGCTGTTCGGCTGGAGACAGTACCCGACTACCGTAAGCCACCACATGCTCTACGCCCCCAATGAGCTGGGACAGCACGCCCCCGATGCCCGTGTTACTCGCATCAGTATCGAGCAAGAAGGGTTGTGAAAAATCGGGGTAGTTCAACGGCGGAGCCCCCACCAAAGCATTCCGGAGGGCGCGAAAAGCAGCCTCCTCCTCCGGCCCCCAATGAAACCTGACTCCCTTGGACGTCAAGGCATGTAATGGTTTCGCAATCGTAGTGAAGTCAGCCACAAATCGTCGATAATACGATGCGAACCCAATGAAACTCCTGACCTCTCCCACCGAGGTGGGAGTCGGCCAGGAGCTGACGCATTCCGTTTTGGCGGGATCAGTGGATATCCCCGAGCGCCCAACAATGTGACCCAAATATCGCACCGATTCGCGGAGTAAATGGCACTTCTGCGGTTTAAATTTCAAATTGGCAGCCCGCATTTTGAGAAAAATAGCACGCAACCTCTGGAGGTGTTCCTCGAAGGATTTGCTAAAGACGATGACATCGTCTAAGTAAATCAAACACGAATCCCATTGCAAACCTGCCAAGACCAAATCCATTAACCGCTGAAAAGTTGCCGGCGCAGAATGTAAACCCATCGGCAAGCGGTTAAATTGGAAGAGACCTTGCGGCGTACGAAAAGCAGTCTTAGGCTTTGATTCGTCATCCAGAGGAAGCTGCCAGAATCCAGATAGCAAATCGAGGGTGGAAAAGAATCGCGCCCCCGCCAAGGCATCGAGCGACTCATCCATTCGAGGAAGCGGGTACGCATCTGCCACAGAGATTTTGTTCAGACGGCGAAAGTCGACACAAAACCGCAGTGAGCCGTCGTGTTTTTTCACCAAAACGATCGGTGCGCCCCACGGACTGTTGGAAGGGGAAATGATATCGGCGGCTAGCATGTCATCAACAGCCGATTTGACATGATCCTTTTCAGGCGGGACTCAACCGAAAGGGATTTTGGCGGATTGGCGCGCTGTCACCCGTGTCAATATGGTGTCGCAGCAATTTGGTACAACCAATATCAAATTTGTGTTGACTAAAAACGTCAGCAAATTCGCTCAGGAGAACTCGCAGCTGCGCGCGCTGCGAGTCGGACAGGTCCACTGAACCCGCGCAAAGCGCATCCAGCCATCCGTCATCACAGTCCGAATGCGGTCGCGACGGAGGATCGGTGGATACCTGACCCACGAGTGGTTCCTCATAGGGTACCGGCGTTGCGTGTGCAAGCACGGTCCCTTGAGGAACCACGGCCATTCGCGATCCCACATTAAGGACTGCAATGAAGGGGTCCCCATCCCCTCTCACCATGGTCTGAGCCGCGAGCAAATCGGGTCCATTGACCCCGGCCCGAGATGGTCCCAACAAGACCCCCCTATCCGCAACCCCTTCATTAAACGGCCGACGCAACCTAAGAGGGACGAGCATCTGAGCCCCCGGAGGTACGCGCACAGTTTTTGTCACGAGCGCCTGCACGGTGGCAAACGCCCGACGCTCCGTGGTGGGGGAAGACAAAAAAGTAACGCGTCGGCCCGATGGGAGCTCAATGCACCCCTGGTCAATCAGGATACGGATGGGCATTTTGGCCAAGAAATCCGTCCCCAACAGGCACGGAACCGCGAGTGAGGAGGAACCCAAAACAGGGCCGGATAACTTAATGTCTCCGATGCAGATAGTGGCGCGGATTTGCCCAATAATGCCCAGCGAGCCCCCGTTAGCAGCATAGCATGGCACGTCAACAGGGAGCAAGGGACGACTTTGAACGGGAAGGATGTTATAAATCAAATCAGATATAATGGTCGCCGATGCCCCTGTGTCAATTAAAATCCGCACCTCTACCCCATCAATGTGACCGACCACAACCGATGATCCCGCCGACGCAGCAACAACACGATGGGCGAGCTCCGACCACTGACCTGGTTGGAGCGCTCGCCGCATTACCGAACAATCGCGCACGACGGACGGGGAATTTGGAGCCCTGTTTAGTTGAGCGCGTGAGTGTGTGTCGGATGTGTGTGTGGGCCAAACGTGTGAGGTGCCGCGACTCGCCGTATTTCTCTGCTGGAGCTTGGGAGGAGACGGCGTGGCGTCCTGGCGAGGTGTCGCCCCGCGCTGACGGGGAGCCCGGCATCCTGACGCAACGTGGCCTTGCAGGCCACAGTTGTAGCAGCGTGTGAGCGCCCCCGATGTCCTGGGCTGCTCCTGGCGACTCGGTCCATTCCGAGCCTGTGGCGCCGCCGATCTCCATTCCCCTCGCCGCTCCACCCCGCAGACCTCCTCCGACGGGAGGGCGGTGGCCGCCATGGCATGGCCGGCCGCTCCCTTTGCCGCCTTCCGACGTAGGGACCGCAAGCCCCCGTGTATGTGGCGCGCGATCAGCAGGGACGACATCTCCGCGTCGTCTTGAGCCAGGACGTTGACGTCCAGCTCATCAGCGAGTAGCAGCAGCTTCTCAGCTACCATGGCATCCACTCCTTCCTTGTCCATCCTTGGAAAAGCAGCCTTTGCCAGGGCTAGGAGAGCCGTCCGGAAGGCCAGGGGCGATTCGTTAGCGCCCCGATGCCGATCGTGGAACAGCTGCCTGCAGTCCGAAGGCGGCCCATAGACGGCCGACAGCAGCTGCAACGCCAGGTGTAGAGTGGCGCGCTTTTCCCTAGGCGCCGAGGTGAGGGTAGCCAGAGCGTCGTTGTCCAGCATCGCCGGCAGCGCGCGTAGAGCCTCGGCGTCCGTCCAGTTCGCCATCTCCTGATGAGCGATGAACCGCCTCTTGAAGCCGCCCCAGTCTCCGTCTGCGCCTACGAATTCTTTCAGAGGCGGCAGACGCTGCTGCAAGGCGACGTCCGTGGCTGTAGATCGCTCTCCGTCGCTCCCCGCCGATGATACAGTGTGGGCGGGCTGTGCACATGGCATCGCCGGTCGCTCCGATGTTGACGCGCCGGCCGGTGTTGATGATGTCACGGCTTGTGCTTGGCGCTCAGCAGTCACGTGACGCGGGCCGGCCCCGCCGTCCGCTCGCACTGTAGAGATGGCGGGAAATTTAACCGCCAGCCGCGTCGGGGTGGCGGGAAACGTCGCCGCACGCCGGCTGCTGTCGTCGACCCGCGCTGCCCCTCCAGCCCCCAGCCGCGTGATCTCCTCCAACGCAGCGGCGGCGGCGTAGAGCAGTTCCGCCAGGCGGGAGTGGGCCAGCCGGAGTCCTTCAGCCGACGCATCCCCCCCCTCTTGTCGTAGCGGCGCGGGCGTACTTGGCCCCGGCTGCTCCGATCCGACCCCGGCCATCTCTGGTGTTGAATCGGCCGCGGCGTCTTCCATCTCCGACTCCTTGGTACGTGTCGTCCCTCGTGTGTCCATCGTTTGGACGTTTTACTTCTGACACCAGATGTAGTAAGTATATGGAGGCTTGACGACAGGATCGGAGGCACACTTATTTACTACACCAACACAGTTATTACAGGTCACTGGGCTACAGGGATTTCTCGACAGCTAACCCCTCTAACCTATACCAATTCCTCCACTACGGAACTAGGGGAGGCTATCTGTCCCAGCTTGGTTAAGCTGGGATCCCGGCTCCCTGAGTCACCAGACCAGCTTCGTCTGGGCTCTCGGGGCCACGCCACCGGCTTGCCCTGGTCGGCCCTTATAAGGACAGCGAGCCAGGGGAGCTCTGGGGCCTACACTAGCAGGTCTTCCGTCTTCTCTGGTTAAAGCTGAGTCCCGACCTCGAGCCCTCGAGCTCATCACCTTTTATAGGACTCCCCCCGAGGGGGGGCCCGTGGGGGACGCACATTCGGACGTCGGTGCGAGCGCCACCCTTGTGTATGGCCGTAACCCCGCCCCTTGTGTTTGTTGGCCATCCGTGGCCATGCATAATCACACCTCAACATTCGTAGCCATGCGCAATTACACCTCTACACATATTTGGGAAGCCCTGGAGAAGGTGCGGAGAAAGGACAACAAGCTAAACACAAAAAAAACATTTCTAAAGATGTGAGTTTCAAAATAAATGTTATATTTTAAAAGTGTATGTTGAAAATGATGGGAGTACCCACACTTTACTCCACCAAAAGTGACCTGCTTATCGACTCACTTCGATTTACCAATTCGTACTAGACTAGAGGCATGGGGATTTATGAAACTTGCCCCATTATATCTACGTTGAACTTCTCTCGCGCCACATGTAGCCAACCGTGCTAATCGGAGGGGTGCCAGGAGAATAAACCAGCAACCTCCGGATCGCAAGTCCGGCGTGCTGACGTTACTCCATGGAAGCATCATCCCAGACAATGGAGAACGATGATGAAATGGCAGGCAAGGTGGCAGCCAAGGTGGTGGCTGAGAGCCGCTTTGCGGTGTTGCCAGCGTTGTCGAGGCCTGCGTTAACCTCCCTGCCACTCAGCTGGTGTCCACGAGTTACCGAAACAACAGAGCAGACAGCCTGCCTGCTCTCAACCGCAGCTTTAACCAACGTGTCCCTTGGCACTGCTTGTGTCTATTTCATCACAATGATGCACCCCCTCCCCCATCTATGTTATTCCTATTTCTTCAAATGCAGGTTTATTTATTTATCTTAACTAGGTGAGCGCCACAGTGGTGAGATGTTATATTGTATACAGGTAGTCCCCGACTTATGATGGTCCGACTTACGATATTTCGATCTTACGATGGCGACAGCGATATGACAAAATTGTTAAATATTTTACATTTCGCGTGGCAGGCAAACGCAGCAGCGTACGAGGTACGATACTGTACGTTGGGACGCTGCCGGGATGTACCGTACGCATCTCCCGCCTTGTGTGGTGATGCCTCACTCTCACCAGCGGTCGATGGAGTTAATTTGTCACGGTGTTAGCGCATGTATTTTTTTCTGTGTTTTTTGTGTTTCAAAACCCAATTTTAGTGAAAAAGCATGTATTGTAATTAATAAATGCATACAGTATATAGTTTATACAGTACGGTACTGTAAATTTCTCTGTTAAGCTAAATTGTCACCATTCTGTAAGACTCCTGGGTAGGCTATAGGCCACCTTCGACTTACGATATTTTCGACTTACGATGGGGTCGTCGTAACGCATCTCCATCGTAAGTCGGGGACTACCTGTAGTTTGGAGTTTGCGGGTTCTCTCTCACAGTGGTCGAGTATAATTAGTTTACGTGTCCTCCGGCTTGACCGCCCCCCCCCCCCCCCCGCATTTATAATCAACATCACGCGTTTAGAGTATTGGGCTGCTGCGATGAATTCCCACGTCATGATAAGCCACTTCGATCAGCTATCATGTGTGGCCTCTGAAAAAGGGCTGAGAGCTCAGTGGGTCTTACCTGGTAAATAAAATGGTTTAGTTTTCACTCGAGAGACGAGGATATTCTCATATATCCGGGTTCTGACCTGGGGCATTAATCTCCCAGTAGGGAGAGATTATAGCTTCATCAAATCCCCAATGCGTAATTTACAGGTATTTTTTAAATGAACATCTGGACTGTTATTAGGGCGTTTAATTTGAACATGCTACTCAACTTTCCACACTTTAAATGCGGCGTCTCTTTCACCGAATTAAGCGACTGTGAAGTGAATCAATGGAGCAAAGTGGATGCCGGATATGTGGGTGTGTCAATACAGCAGAGGACGAACCTGGTGAGCCCACCACACCATGAGGTAGGAGAACGCTGCAATCCACAGGATGGCTCCGAAGAAGGTCACCACAAAAAATTTCTTTGCTGACTGCAACAACACAAAAGCAGTTTGACAAAAACAATATAAAAGCGATACCAGTTTCCGGTGAAGGCGAACTCTGGCGGCTCAAGGATTAAAGCGCTGCGCTGGCATCACTGAGATCTCGGTTCGAATCCGGGTTACGGTTGCCTGTGATTCAACTGGGCTCTCGTAGCAAAGTGCTGGTCTCAGCCTGGTCACCAATGACTTGACACACACATTTTGTTTTCACCATAACATTTGTTTTTAACTTAATTTTGGCTCTGAAGTCCAGCTTTGGGGGAAGTAAAAATATCTGTTTGACGTTCACGCGACAAGCAGTCTCGTAGCAGAGTGTGTGAGAACGCACAGCCCCATAGTGTACATCTATAATGCCACTTGGGAAGATTGTTTCAGGGAAGTCCCATGAACAATCTCTTATTCAGTCATTATCTGTCACACTGGGCGTATGGCTCTGTGAGATGTATTCCTTTTCTCACGACTCAACACCGAGAGCACAATTGGAATAAATTGCGATCAGAAACAAAAAACTATTTTGGTTATAAAGTTTGTGACTGCCCACGGCATATTTCATAAATATAACCAATGGCAATACCACACGTGAGTTACTCGCAATTTTCGCTAGTTCCGTAAGAAAAAAGATGTAAGCGTGGAATTGAACTGTTGCATATACAGCACGTGTCTAAAAAAACACACTCAAACAGCTGCTCCACTCATATTATTTGTTTCCAGGACACGTTGCCCTTCATGCAATATTTATGAATAGCACAATGATGCTGAATCCCCTGCCAGACTACAGCGTGTGACAACATTGATCCGTTTCCAGAAAAGCGTTCCCTGCAGTGTTCCAAGAAAGGCACCATCCAAATGCACCTGTGCCCTTCACAAAGCTAAAAAAATAAATAAGAAGCACATTACCTCTCTCCCATTATGCCCAACCCACCACGGTCCCTTCTCTTACGTAATTATCCGACAAAGCCATGAAATCCGTGCCCCTCCCCCCCCACCACCACCGCCACCACCACCGCCACCACCACCGCCGCCACCACCACCGCCACCACCACCGCCACCACCACCGCCGCCACCACCACCGCCACCACCAATGCCACCACCACCGCCACCACCACCACCGCCACACCACCGCCACCACCACCGCCACCACCACCGCCACCACCGCCGCCACCACCACCGCCGCCACCACCACCGCCACCACCTGCCGCCACCACCACCGCCGCCACCACCACCGCCACCACCACCGCCGCCACCACCACCACCGCCACCACCACCGCCACCACCACCACCGCCACCACCACCGCCGCCACCACCACCGCCACCACCACCGCCACCACCACCGCCACCACCACCACCACCGCCACCGCCACCGCCGCCACCACCACCGCCGCCGCCACCACCACCACCGCCACCGCCACCACCACCACCACCGCCACCGCCGCCACCACCGCCACCACCCACCGCCACCACCACCGCCACCACCACCGCCACCGCCGCCACCACCACCACCACCGCCACCGCCACCACCGCCACCACCACCGTCGCCACCACCACCGCCACCACCACCGCCACCACCACCGCCACCACCACCGCCACCGCCGCCACCGCCGCTCTGTGTGAAAAAAACTCACGGGGTTTCTGACGTCTGGCAGCGTGAGCCACAGTGGGAATATGATTGGGAAGATGATGAGAAAGGTGATCCTCTTGCGGCAGCTGTTGGGCCACGCCAGGCTGAGGGGCTGCTCCTCGTCGTCGTCCTCCTCCTCCGCCGGCGCCGCCGCCGCCTCCCTGACGGCTCCCGTCGTGTCGGCCTGCGCGTCGTTATTCATTGATTTGTTATATACACATAGATATTTTTTTAATATCGACACCTGCTTCGTGACTCGCAAAAGAGATCGGGACGGGCGGTGGAAACTTTGGCGGGAGTCTTCTTGGCTCTTTCGGTAAAGTCACGTAGAAGGGAAATAATACAATAAAAAAAATAAAACATAATAAAATAATATTATATATTTTTTGTAAATTTTTTAATTCTTTTATTATTTCCCTTCTATATTTTTTGTAATTTTTTTTATTCTTTTATTATTTCCCTTCTATATTTTTTGTATTTTTTTATTATTATTTTATTATTTCCCTTCTACGTGACTTTACCGAAAGAACCAAGAAGATGAATCCCTGCAGTCACGAAAGCTTTACATCGAAAATTTGGCGGGAGTGTTTGATGCATGATCAAGAGCTTGTCAGTTCTACTAAAAAACTAATTTTTTTTTTAAACCAGGGTAAGGCCCACTTAGCTATATGGCTCTTTTTCAGAAGAGACCCTGGACTTGTTGAATCCGACATGACCCATCGTCCCTTTTGAGGACGACACAATGGGTGCTAGTTTTCAGGATGTCAAAAGCGATGAACTACGTAGGTCAAATGGGTCAAATTCAAGTGAAGCCATGATGACTCCCTGCTCAGATGAGCGTGGGACATTGCTCATCTCTGTTGCCAGCCCTGAAGCAGTGGTGGAGTGCCACGTTCACACTGTGGAGCCAGTCACTCCATAAGTCCACCCCTGCAATTGTAATGATATCAGGCATGTTGCCTGATACGTCCTCTCATCCTTTTCCAATTAAATACTACACACTTGAGAAATCGCCTGGCCTGCTGCAGCCTACACTGGTGTTCATCAGTTTTCCTGTCTATAAACGTCATCAATCGTGCATTGTACGCGTCTGAGCGGAAATCTCTTGACAAGCAATGCCATTTACCCTGGTCCTGTGCAGCTGAAATGTATGTTACTCCCACATGAGCCCTGACATCATTACACCATCTCCACTTTCATTATCCCTCTGACTGTGTGCTATCTCGGCTGTTATTCCATAATTATCAATGTTGTACACCGTTAGTTGTCTTATCTAGCCACATAAATAGCGGGATAAATGTGATCTCGTCACTTGTGAGCCAAACAGATGCGAAGGCGGGGGGAGGGGGGTAATATTTGCAAACACATTTACACAATTCTGCTGTTTTCAACCTGTTTCCCTTCATCTTCTTGGTTCTTTCGGTAAAGTCACGTAGAAGGGAAATAATAAAATAATGAAAATATTACATAATAAAATACAATTCTCACGACGTTTCAGCCACAACGCAAGCAGCCGTCCTCAGGTGAAGAACGGGGCTATCGGAAAGACAACGTCCGAATGTCTTTCCGTATATAAAGTTTCGTTTAATCCCAGCTATGTATAATATACACGATGCAACGATCAGTCAATGGATAAGATCAACGAAATATTCCAATATACTTGAGTGACTTAACTCGACGGAGCAATATAAACAACCCATAGGCATATGAACATCAACGTGGCTTCAATCTTGATTAGAAGCTTTCGTGACTGCAGGAATCCATACTCTTTGGTTCTTTCGGTAAAGTCACGTAGGTAGAAAATTCATAGATCACGACGTTTCGATCGCAACACAAGCAACCGTCATCAGGTGAGACAAACACAGCAGGAGAACCTATCTACGTGACTTTACGCTTAAAGTTTGGTCGTAAAAAATGTTTGTCAGCAGGTGAAGCATAAAAACAACAATTTCGATCGTCAAAAGTTTTGTGAAAATTACATCTAGCCGCTGTTGGGAACAAGGGGAAATGTTTTACAGTAATATGCGTGACATTTTGCAATAGCAGCAATGAAATGAGATGTTTTGTTGTACCCATGAAAGCCTGGGCATCAGACAGACAGCCTGCTGCTGTGAAATATGATGATTTTTTACCAAGCATTGTAAAATATAAATATTCTGTAGGTCACTGGTGTTCGCTAGATTTAATGTCGGGTAGATATGCCCAAAAAGTTTCGGAACTGTGGGTAGGAAAAGTGTCTATTTGCCCAATGTCCCATGACCAAAGCAAACAAAAGCAGTGTCTCTGAAGACTGCGCTTATGGGGGGGATTATGCAAGGCCTCAATATTGCTATGTGTGACACCGAATCGCTCCCTGCAAGGAGGCTTTGCGCTATTTATCTAAAATAACAGTTATTATAAACAATAAGGTGGTTCTTTGCTACAGCGAAGCCTCGAAAGACATTCTGCAAATCGGTCTCTCTGTGTTAATGCCTATTGGCTGCCTCCTTGGCTAAATTTGTGGGGGGGGGGGGGGTGTTGGCGGAGTGGTTAATGCATGTGCTATGAACCCACACACCCGAGTTCGATTCCTGGCGACGGTGAACACCAGTGGTGAATTATATCTGAACTGATCCTGGGCTCCTCTTCACCTGCCCACACTGACCACTGTGGTGATATATGGCCGGTCAACTTCCACGACTAACACAGTACGGGATTAAAAAGGCGGTACATTATCACACGTCAACATTGTTGGCTACGCTGGTTCACAATGAATGAGCGTGCACTGCCATTGGTGCTTTCTGTCCACAAATACCCAATGCCAGTGCTTAGAGGTAATCTGTATCGCATGTGGGGGGGGGGGGGGGCACGTAATGGGCAGATGTTCTCCCCTCTCTCCTAGGCATAGGTCTCAGCGCGCTGTAGCGGGGGTGGGTGGGTGCCTACGTCTCGCTGGATCTCCTCGTTGTGGCGGGCGTTGCCGTTCTGCAGCCCGGGTGGCCCCACCGGTACGGCGATGCTCACGGTATTCGGCTGCTCCTGCTTCGCGGGTCGCCTCCCTTCTCCTGCACAGCAGCCAGACGCAAAGCACCCCCCCACCGCCAACATCACCAAGGGCCAGAATTAGAGAAGCGCCTCTCCTCTTGCCTCTTTTTCCATCGCAATACGACTGAGTTCACGCGCGGGTTGGGGGAGGGGCGTGCCAAGCTTGCTCGGCGTGGCCCAGGAGGCACCAGGTTCTGTTTCCACTGCAGAACCCGAGTCATGTCGCTAATCTGCCATGCAATGAACGAGTTGAGTATGCAGGTGTGGATGTTGAACTTATCTTTAAACACGTAGGCTTTCGCGACCAATACACCGGTGTGCTGAACTGGTAACTAATTGGCATGTTTTGTTCACTTGGCAAACCGTACTAATTAGCTGTGCCGGGTGGTGGTGGGTTTTTATTGTTACGTGATCTAACCTAAAAAACCCTCTATTATGGGTATGTTGAACTTCTTTTGCACTGTGCGAATCGGAGTTGTACAGGAGGCCGTGGGTTCGATCCTGATGATGACGCCTGTATATTTGGAGTTTGCTGTGTCTCGCTCCCCGTGATGGTGTTGATTTTTTTCTCCTGAGACCTCCAGTTTTCCCTCTCCACATTTAGAATCAACGTGCTTTTAGAGTATTCGGCTGCTATGTATTTCCACGCAATAAGCCACTTCGTTAAACTATCATTTTGTGGTCCGGTCGCTTCTAAAAGAAGCTATATCGCTCGGTGGGCCTTACCTGGCAAAATAAAAATAAAAGTTTAATAGTTTAGTTAAGTTTAATCAACCCCACCCCTGGCCTGCTTGGGGATTGAGCCTGATTCATAAGTCTTGTGAAGCCAGAGGTTTCACGGTTTAGTTATGGTTTGTATTGATAATATTCCAATAAAACCGTCCATACCATGAGGGCCCTGCACTGCCACGGGCTCAGAGTGTCTGGGATATGAGTTTCATTGTGGCACAGCCTGCAACACACTTCCCAATATCAACATGCCCAGTGCGTCTGTGCCACGTTTTGAGATGTGGTCGCATATAGGCGTGACATACATTCTAATTGCATTCTCTTTCATTACAGCGGTGGGAAAATTAAACTCCAATTACTCTTTAACAAGGAATGTTCCACCCTTATAACATTGCCCACGTAATGCAATGACTCACCCAGTCAGCCAAAAGGTTTGCTATTTTTCCATGCATATTCAATATCACACCTAATATCAGTTTCACAACACATTCCCGCATTATTATTATTTTAATTCGTTAATACTGATTTGCAAATCTTTACTTAGTTAAGTAGTTTATGAAACATCAAATAGGATGTTTAAAAATTCAATCTCAATTTGTTATAGCAGACTAGATTTTGTACAACATTTGTCTGACTAAAAATGTATCGGTTTGCTTTATTTCATTCAATCAACAAATTTGAGCAAATTAAACCAATGTTGGAAGAAGTCTACCATAATCCTGACGTGTGAACATCACGATTTCGATGCACATCGAACTGACACCTACATATGTTACAGGGCTGATGCCTTAAACCAGACCATTCAATGAATATGTCTTCTCCATTGATTTCGAGGCATTGTGAGCAATTAAATAAACAATTAAACATCCATTCTATATTGCCACAGCAAAATAGGACAATCCTTAGTCTGGTAGTATATGGGCTACGTATATTGTTGCTTTCTGCATTGACCAGGGCCCTTTGGTATTTCATGGAGTGGTCTTGCCAATTAAATCCGGCAACCCACCAGTATTTGTTTAACAAGTCCAATTCGTTCTCCTAATGAGACCTAAAAGGTCAAAACTGCTCCAGAGTTAGTTTATTACTTTGGTATGGAAAGCGCATAGGCAGATATAAAGTTTTTTTTTTTTATCTGGGGGGGGGGGGGGGTAGAGAACAGTCGTCGATTTATTGTGTATATTCAGATCAGATAAACTCGTATCTTTTGCCAGTTATGCCTACACATTTAGTTTGTGTGACATTAAAAAAATAGAGCTAGAATTATGGAATCAATTATACGTGACAATATTAGCATGCCTTTTGGTGGCTTGCTTCATATCAAATACACCTTTTGTCCAGTTTCTTTCAGTTAAATTTGATATATCTTGCCACAAATAATGAAAGAGATCATACGTATATTTTTGTCAGTGAAGTAATCTGCATTTCGTGGTGCATCTACAAGTCCCTTCCCTTTAGTCAACTCACAACACCTGGGCTTGACCAGTAACCTCCTGCTATTGAGCTTTCGACACTTCATGGGGCCTCAAATTACAGTACACACAGCCTGGTACAGGTGCCGTGGTGACATCATTCATGCGTGTTACAAGTAAAAAAAATGAATGAATCTTTACCGAGTGGTTGAATGACTGTAGTTGTTATTTTTGTTTTGTATTCGTGCATTTTTATCTTCAGAAAAACCTTTCCCAACTCGGCTTCATCGAATGCCTGTTTCGGCTCTGCACGGTACACCTAAAGAGGCCTGTTTTCCAGAACACGGGGATGATGTTTCAGCTCGACGCGGTTTGACGTTGCTAAGATTCTCATCTCCGCGTTGGAAAGTAGTGCCGTGAGAGTGACATCATTTTATTTCCCACGTATGTTTGTGTGCGTGTGTGTGTTTTTTGTGGAATAATGTAACACATTCAACACGCACAACGCAAACGTTCAAACATTGCCGCATGCATCCAGCCGTCCAGTTGTTGAGGACCTCAGTCATACGGAAGCCTAGATGGCGAATAATTAATGTTCAAGTGACAAGTGATAGGGGCGAGCATTGGGCTGGCAATTCCGTGTCAGGGGTAAGCGTTGGGCACGAGTGTCGCGGTGGGGGACGAGCAATGGAGACAGGGGGTTTGTGTTGAGGGGAATTTGAAAAACAAACAGTGTACACACACACACAAGAAATGGAGAGTGGCTCCACATCCTTTAGTGCAAAAACAAGGGTGAAAATCATGTAGAATTAGTTAAAGAAAGAGGGAGGCGGTGATAATTTTGGACCCAGGAATGCAACCCTATTTTTAAAAATAATGCCGATTATTTGTCGAATGCGGTTTTGCCCTACACGGCATTTTCCAGGAACGTAACCCCCGCATCCAGCGAGGTCTGCCTGTCCGTGGAATTTTCTGAAAAAGTGCTTTTTATTAACCATACTAGTGTAAAGGTCGTGTCGGGACACGCTGAGGTTATGTGGGGCTACGGGACCACACCCAGGATTCATAAATAAACAAAGGTGGCAGTAATTGAGCCTAGGAGAAGGAGGCAGGGGGTTGGAGGAGACCTGAAGGGGGGATGTTTGGAGGGAAAAGAAGAATGAGGGGCTTGGAGGAACATCTGGAAGGTTCGAGAGTGTTCAGGGAGAGAGAAAGAGAGAAGGCATATGAGGGGTGTGCGTTGTGGTGTACGTGGGGAGCGGTGGGGTAGCGGTTAGCGCACTGCGCTATGAACCCGGGGACCCGAGTTCGATTCCCACTCCCACTCACGGCCACAATCAATGATAGCAATTATCTGAACGTGTCCTGGGCCTCCCCTAGGTCTACTGAGCCTCAAACGAGTACCTGGTATGATGTGTAAACATCGCCACCAGGCAGAGAAAGGCGGCCGGGTGTGGTGCTGGACCACCCATCGCCTCGTGTGCCGTGCCGGCCTTCATATGTGCTCGCTAACAGCACTTGCCCCAACAGTCTGTTAAGGCTATAGGGGGGATCTTTGTCTTTGGTGTGAGGAACGTGAATAAAATCCATACCTAAAACGTGTACTCCCTTTCACTATGAATTGTGTGGTGTAAATACAAATGACTGTGAGGATTTGGAGGAGCGGGCTCATCGATTGATCCCCAAATGTGAACGTGGGTTTGGGAGTAGAGGCCGGGGCTGTGTAGGAGCACGGATGAGTTGGGGATCAAGGGGCAGAGTTGCAGCGGTAGCAGCGCTGACCTTTCAGTTCGTCCTGTCCAGACTGTAACTTCTTCTTGGCCGCCTTGTGCAGGATGCTTGCCTTTTCTCTGAACCTCCCTGTTCCACGCAGCAGCAGCAACAAGAAGACAACACTATTAGTGAGGTCATGAGGTAAGCAATACAAAGTAACATTTTCACATGTTATATTAGCATTGTTTCAAAAAAGGAAAATCAACAAATATCTGTTAACAAATGAGCAGCCCTGAGCTAGTGATTAAACTTTTGTGATCTCATGGCAGAGGCCATCTCCTGAATCAACCTCAGAGAGTTGATGAGTCTCGTCAAACCTATGACCAGAAATTTATCTCGCAGCTGTTTGCTTATGAGTTGAGTGTTCTACCAACGCCAACCCTCGGTCACAGCCATAAGCATTTGGGATGAATCAATAATCTTTATACAGTGTTCGGCATACTGTGAATAATAAAATAGCACCTATTCACGTTACTTTACATTGACACGTAATTAATCGCATATACATAAAATTATAAAGTTATTAAAACAACTAAATGTTTTAATAATACTTTCAAAAACAAGTATTTTATAAGTTTAACTGATTCTCGCAAACTGAAAAAAATGCGTGTAGAGTAAATATAAAATATCACTACGAGAAAGTGAAAGAGGAGGCGCCATCCCAAAGCACGTGGATGTTGCGTGGCGTTCGTACGCACGGTTCACCGAATTCCAAACAGAAAACTTGAGAATATTTCGTGCGGTACAGCGTGTACTGCAGATTGCTCGTGCAATCCATGAGATATTGACGTGTCAATTTAATATAGAAATGTGTGTATAGAGTATGAATTTCCACGTGATAAGCCATTTCATTGAGCTAACATTTTAACCATATGGCGGTACCCATAAGGGGTACCACAGTACCCCGGCTCTCGCGTAATGTCCGTGATGCAGTCATTTTTAGTCTGTTGATGGTCGGCGATGTGGCAATCGACTCATCTCGACGAGCTGTGCACGATGCACGATACAAAGTTGAACATTTCGATAACGGATTTTTATGCCGATGTTTGGCGTTTCGACATCGCGGAGTGGCACTGATTTCGGATTGATTGGTACCCCAGTCGCCGAGTGAAGTACACCCCTGGAAAAAATAGTGTCCCAGAAATAAAATTGCCATTTTATATTATTTGATACCCCGGGGCACGGCCATAAGGATTATTTGTGACCAGGTCACTGAGCTATATAGCTCAGTGGGCCTTACCTGGTCAAATAAAAAAAAATTGGGTTTAATTAGTGCAAGAACAGTGTTCTGAGAATGATTGGTTGACTGTATAAAAATGCATCTGTATACAATTATTTTGGTGGTCTCGCTTGTCTTTTCCGGAATTCTTGGCTTTCCTGAGTCTGGCTTTGTGAGGTTTCACTGTGTTAAGGATATTTCAGGCACGTTTCCACATACATATGACAAAGACATTTGACTTAACTAGCACAAATATTTAGACTGCTGGTTTCAAAGGAAACTGTCTCTTCAATTTAAAGTAGCGTGCACGCGTTACATTTGTCTGTGGGAAGAAATATTATGCATTTGTTTTAATAGTTAAATCAGCTTGTAAACATGAGATACAACTTGCTTTATCAAATAAGATATTTGCAAGTACTTAAACATATTACACATTACATCATCGCAGTACTATTCATATTTTATTCCTGTAGGATGGAACCCAGTAATTGCTTAAAAAATGTTGAAATCAAACTGCAACATTCACAGCCCATATTATCAGTTACATTTTAGGATTGCAAAATAATTGATAAATTAATATCATTCATAAAAATTTGTCAATTATAAATAGTCGAAATATTTTTTTAGAATTTGCACTTTGCAGTCCGTCTGACGTTCTGGAAATCCGTGTAACATTCAGGAAAATATATCGTTTCATTCTAGGGCAAAATTCACCCTCCTGTAAAAAAACGACGATCTTTGTAATGACTATAATACCTCTTCTTGGTTCTTTCGGTAAAGTCACGTAGTAGGGAAGTAATAAAATAATAAAAATAAAACATAATAAAATAATTCTCACGACGTTTCGGCCACAACGCAAGCAGACAGACATGTTCTTCACCTGAGGACGGCTGCTTGCGTTGTGGCCGAAACGTCGTGAGAATTATTTTATTATGTTTTATTTTTATTATTTTATTACTTCCCTACTACGTGACTTTACCGAAAGAACCAAGAAGATGAATCCCTGCAGTCACGAAAGCTTTAAATCGAGACTGTAATACCTTTACAATAATAATAATGTACGGCCTGTTTTGCCAATTCACGACTGGGAAGAAAACAAACCTCCCCATGCCATAGTGGGATGAGTGTGAATTCCAAAGGAGCGAGTCTAGAACACGTTCATCTCTCGCCAGTGGTCAAAGCCATGGCCTATAATCTAAAACCAGGTCGCCACCGAGTGCTTCGAAGCCCTCTGTGCACTCACCTCGGTGCCACCGCTCCCCCCATTAATACCTTGAGCAAACGTGTGAAAATGGCACGTGGCTAAAGTTTTTTCTCACAAAATATAAAAAAAAGAAAAATGTGTGCAAAAAAAAGAAGCAGCAAAAGAAAGATTCAAAGTGGGGATAGGCGTTTCCTTACCTTCTTCGGTCAGGGTGACATTTGGATTCGCTTCTGCATCAACTAACAGCCAAACAAAGAGAAAATGGGCCATTTGTGTGATTGTGGATATGCTGTCAAGTCCTAAAAGTTAGGATCCAAGTGCTGTGCTGGTATTTTATCGTGGGAAAATAAAACCATGCGCAAAAAAAAGCACGGATATAAATAAATAAAACATCACCTTGCTGTGGTACTTTAAAAAAAAAAAGAAAATGTAAAATAATGATACAAAATATGCAAAATGTCATTCAGCAAAAATACAATTGAAAATGTTCCAAGGGCAAAGAAGAAGAACGCGAGTCAAATGTGTGTCATAGGATGGCCTCCTGGGCTGAGAGATAGACATTTTGGGGAAGAAACCCCGTTGAGAATGTTGCAACAAAAACGCAAAAAAAAAAAATCTCCGTTGGTTCCTTTTGTCATTTCAAATACCATTTGTTTTCTTTCCTCTGCCAATCACAACCACAGTGAAATGATTGTCGTTAAACTATTGTAATGGCTGTAATCCCCTTCTTTTATCTGCCATTTGCGTTTGTCGTTGTGTTATGCAATTTTAAAACTGCAACCCTCTGAACAGTGACGCGACAAAGTACGAAAGCTTTTGGCAAGCAGACACATTCAAAAGACAACGTACCCCGCCCCCATAGCCGTAACAGACTGTTGGGGCAAGCGCTGTTAGCGAGCACCTATTAAGGCCGCCACGGCACACGAGGGGGTGGGTGGCCAGCACCACGCCCGGCTGCCTTTGTCTGCCGAGTGGCGATGTTAAGGCATCGCACCAGGTACTCATTTGAGGCTGAGTAGACTTAGGGGAGGCCCAGAACCGGTTCAGATAGTCACTATCACTGGTGGTAGCTGTGAGCGGGAATTGAACTTGGGTCGCAGGGTTGGTAGCGCAGCGCGCTAAATTGCTACACTACTGCTCCCATCACACAAAGACAAACTTACACACACACGAATTACCCGATGATGCTGGATGCAATTACCAGTGAAACGTCGTACTACTCAAAAATTGTAAATGTTGTGGTTTCACACTTCAACACACCGGTGGGCTAAAGCAGTGAACTATTTGTCTTTTGTCAACGTGACACTTTTTTTTACTGATTGGCCGTGTCGGGTGGTGGAGGGTTACGACACATTTATAAATAACGCGATCTAAACCCAAAAACGTTGATTATGAATACACACACACATATGAAGATTATGACTTGTATCCACGTATACTGTGGGCAATCTGGGATACGTGAACAGTTATGAGCAGTTCAGGACGTGAAAATAGGTTAATTGACAATGGCTGATAACACGTCAACTTACCAAAAGCCTTACCGACTTGTGGTGATTGAAATATGAAAACATCTGAATATCACTGAGCAGACATCTCTGGATACTGTTAAGACTCGTCTTAAAACATGTCTTCTTGAATCAGTTTATTCTATTTAGTTTCTCTGTCTCTCTTGGCCTTCCCTTATCCTGACAAGGCGCCTTACAAATAAATGTAAATTTTTATTTCGTTGCTTTTTTCATGCAGTCATAGTATCGTTGTTCCATTCTTTATATATGTACTTTTGTTATCATTTACATATTTATAAAAACTTCAATATTTAACTGGTTTGTGAATGCTTAGACGGCTGAATTAATTTCCACTGAATTAAATGCATTTTCATAAACTATAGAAGCCAAACATAATGGCATTTGATATTATTTATCGATGTGATCTGCATGATAGCATGTGTGCGTGATCATGAGTGGTGGTAATGTCGTTTTCTATATCCGGTTTGCTGACGAGGTTGGCCTCTGGAATATCCCATTATATTTCACCCCATGATCTTCAGAAACAATTTCTAAATATGTGATCGGAGGCTAACATATTTGTTATGATTCAAAGTCAATAACGTCTTTCTTGTAAAACAGAATAATGAAGGCGACATTTAATTTTACAAGGAATATCATCTGTGCGCCAAAACATTCAGTAAATAGGTCTATTTTTTACTGGCAATGAGGTTCCAATGGTGTAAATGCTCACCCCGAGCTCTCATACTCTGATGGTGCATTGTCTTTGAGTTGTGTGCCTTTTGGCGTCATCTGGTCCAACACCACGTGAGACTAGGCTCTAAGAAAAGCTGTCTCGGGTGTGGACCAATCAACTTCAAGGACAGTGCATACAATATCAGAGTTGTGTTTTTTGTTTGCATTATAACTGCAGGTATTGTGGTCAATGCAAACATGACTCCTTGTAAAAAAGGTGTCAGTTTTGTTGCCAGATAAAAGGGGTAAAAAAAACAATTATCAGGTCTGATAATATTGATTCAACAGCTTAGCATGGTCCCACTTCTCTGACGATATCCGCTGTTAATCTATCTGGTTGCGGAGATGTCAAATGTCTTCTTGGTTCTTTCGGTAAAGTCACGTAGATTGGAAATAATAAAATAATAAAAATAAAACATAATAAAATCATTCTCACGACGTTTCGGCCACAATGCAAGCAGCCGTCCTCAGGTGAAGATCAGGCCACAACGTCGTGAGAATTATTTTATTATGTTTTATTTTTATTATTTTATTATTTCCATTCTACGTGACTTTACCGAAAGAACCAAGAAGATGAATCCCTGCAGTCACGAAAGCTTTAAATCGAGATTTTTCAAATGTGTTCGTATTGCAAAGAGCAGTGGTACTTCCACAAAATTGAAATATAATACATCCGACTCACTCGAAAACATATTTTCTAGGGTATATATATTGTTTTGAAACAAACATCTTTGTAACATTCCTCTGTTTGCCATGCACTCCAGTTCCATCTTGCGCCCTAAGATTTAACAGCCATCAAATCAATGTTGCTGCTTTCATGCTCCCATTGTTGATTGTGATGTCTTAAATTACTTTTGTGTTGTGGCCTCCGATTTCAAGTCTCATTATTTTTAGAATGGTTTTGCATTTCTGTGTGTTCTTTCTTTGGCATTTCCATTCTTTCTCATATCTATGCTTGTGTTCATCATGATCATTTATATTACAGACTATTTGTTCTCTGTTTAGCATTTTATTTTGCCTTTAACTTTCAATGCACTGTCCAGTGATAGTGATTTCATAATGTACAGTGTTGACATTTAATACTCAGGCATTTGAATGCGTTGCTTAGAATCAGTCAATATTGTTCTACCTCGTGAGCTAGATTTTTCAATGTGTAGTTGTCTTTTTTTCACCTGTACTTAGCTGTGTCCTCTCCTTTGCGATTTTGAAGTGTGACTGGCATTGCATCGGCCTGCGATCGCTTGCATCCACTGAGGACAGAGACATCCCTGACAATCTGAGGTTTCTAGATTTGAAGCTTTCGTGACGGCAAGGATTCATACTCTTAGTTTTTGGTAAAGTCACGTAGGTAAAAAATGAAATAAAAATAAAAATAATAATAAAATCACGACGTTTCGGAGGCAACACAAGTCACAGCCAGATTTTCTGTATCACTTGATACAGCAAATCTGGCTGTGACGGTCCCACCTGATGACGGAGACTTGTGTTGCCTCCAAAACGTCGTGATTTTTATTATTTTATTTTTATTACTTTTAATTTCAGTTTTTACCTGTGAGAATCGAGTCACTTTGTTCATCATTAATCGATGTGCGCATGTCCACTTCATAGATTCCGTGTTTTGTTTTATAAATAAGTTCGTTATCTTCATGCTCCTCCTGCGTGTGAACCCTGGATGTGTTCCTTGCTCATTCCTCTCTTCAATACCAAATTCGCCGATCATCCTCTCACCTATGCTCCTTTTTACCTACCTTTGCATTGACGTCTCCTGTCACAGGATGTTGACATGTATATCCTCCACATTTAGACGTAGGTATGGTAATTAACTGTAGTTATCTGCAGATATTTCCACGAATTTCCACCTTTTCAAAAAACATTTCATTTTCGTGGCCACAGATAATGTGTACATTTATTTAAGCGTACATTTTAAACGTGTTTAACTTAACAGTGTTTTGTTCATGCTGTGTGCTCTGTATATTTTAACTACGTAGGATGACAGCAGCACCCAGTAATGGTGGTGTCATTTTCAGATCGTTTTCTTCTTCCGTCATGTACAATGGCCAAGTCACCCTTACTCATTCCACGAAAATGCATCCTGTCAAGGTGCTGTGTACAGTTTCACACCACACAACTCTGAGTTTGTGTGTGTCATTTGTAACAATCTTGATTTGAGGCTTTCGTGATTTATTTCATTGTGTAACAATTAGTCGCTTTTCATTTAACCATTCCTTTCGGGGGTCTAGCTAGCTACGAGTACGAGCGAGTGCCGGAGTTTGAGATGACGCAAAGGAAAGAGTAGGAAGTCAGACAGTGGTCCGAGTGTGGCTGTGTCAGCTCTGGGCTCATTACGGTTTAAACAAAAAAATGGCTTAATGCGATCGGATCGTCCACAAACCACCGCACACGAGAGCGAATGAGAATGAATCGGCTTAGCACAAGCACGGCGAGCCGGCCTCTGCTTGGCTCAGTGCGAGCAAGGTCACGGCATCCTCCACGCGCTCTCCCAGCCAACCCCTGTCCTCCGATTTCTCTGGCATCAAGCGAGATTTCATCGCTAAAGCCATTATTCATCGATACAACCATTATCCTTAAGCCAATTACTGTCATTGCGCTTGAGGCCACGTAAACTTAGTCGAGTTATTAAGGTTGTTCTCAACGATCGCTATGGGAGGTGGCGGCACCACCGGGATCCTGGGTTTGAAACTAAACTAAACTATTTTATATTTTAGCAGGTAAGGCTCACTGAGCTACGTAGCTCTTTCTCAGAGAAGACCTGGCCACAAGTGATTGCTCAACGAAATGGCATATCAAGTGGAAATGTATAGCAGCTAAATACTCTAAACGCATGTTTCTAAAGATAGAGGGAATCACCACAGGACCGGGAGAAAGAGCCACACGACCACGTGGAGAAACATGCAAACTGCAAATATACAGGCGTCAGGGTCGGGATCCATGACCTCCTGTATACAAGGCGAGGTAGTTAACATCTCGCCACCGTGGCGTGAAACGTGGCAGTGCCCGTGATTAAGCTTAACTATATATTATGGTTATCTTAGTCCTCTCTGTGGCTATGTTTAAGTGTCATTTGCATACACACCAATCGGTGAACACTTCTTGTGTTTAAATTTTCCGAGAACAGAAATGCCTTTCTGACAATCTTGCATTTTTCCATGAGCATAAAGACAATTTAATTTCAGATTTGTATATTTGAGCTCCTCCATGTCAAATCCTCCTTTAATTTTTGTATTTGTTATCCTCGCACTGCTTGTGAACTCAGACATTCTACTCTCTAATTCCTCACCTCATTGCCAAACTTCCCAATCGTCTTCTCATCTCTGATCATTGTTACCAACCATTGCATTGAAGCCACCGGTTGTGTGTTTGGCACTCATCTTCTTGGTTCTTTCGGTAAAGTCACGTAGAAGGGAAATAATAAAATAGTAAAAATAAAACATAATATTATAATATAATAAGAAGATGAATCCCTGCAGTCACGAAAGCTTTAAATCGAAATGTTTGGCACTCGTTTAAAAGTTGGTTAATTTCTTCATACATTTGGTCTGTGCCTAGATCTTCATGGCTTGTCAGATTATTAATCATGTTGCACTTGTAATAGTTCGAAAACCTTAACGTTGGCTGAGAAACGCTATCTGAAGCTTTCTCGAATCCTAAAACTAAACATTTTCTTGACTTAAAGCTGTCGTGACTGCAGGAATTCATACTCTTTGCGTCTTTCAGTAAAGTCACGTAGATAGGTTTAAGCGATCGCCTGTGTTGCGATCGAAACGTCGTTAGTTTTTAGTTTTTTTTGTTAGTTATTTTCTTTGAACCTATCTACGTGACTTTACCGAAAGACCCAAAGAATATAAAAATGTTCATTCCAGAGACTGAGATTGTATTAAAAAAGTAGCGAAATACATGTAAGAGAAGTTGTGCATTGGGAAACACTCCCCAACGTTATTCACATGACACGTTAGAAGATATTTGACAAAAAAAAGAAAATGGATTGGAGAAATTATTGCATACACGTACGTGAAGAAAGTATTCACCATACATATGCTGAGGACACAGTCATCGTCAGCCAATGCTAATGGGCTGCAGTAAATTATTGAATCAACTTAACAATGGCGGCATGAAAATTGGGCTGGAAATACTCAAGAGCAAACACAAAGGTCACGTGCAACAGTACAGAGGTCACGTGCAACAGGGTTTGGAAAAAGAAAGAAAATCATTGTTGGAGAGACACAGCTGGAAAACACAATGGAGTATGTTTACCTAAGGTCATTCTTGAAAGTGAACCTGGATCTAAATTATGAACTTAAGAAGTGAATTGATAGCAGGCTGGAGTGCTTTTGATAACTTGAACTTAATAATGAAAACGCAGCATAACACTGTATTTGAAGAAGACATTAAAAAAAATCTGTACATTATGGCATGGGTCGGATCTCTGGACAATCGCAATAGAAATGGAACAAAAGCTGAAAAATAAGCAAAGAAGTATGTTGAGGTGCCTGCTTGACATTGTAGTGACAGCAAGGAAGGAGAGACACATGCATCACAAAACGACCACGAATTAGAAGTTGAACTTTCACTGTTTTAGGAAAATCATCTGGGCTTGGGCAGGACACATCACTGGAAGCGATGGTGGTGATTGTCAAGGCTGCTGATGGAATAGTGGCCAAAGGATGGATCATACGAGAGATGAAAACCATTGCAGGGATGGCGGGATGAGATCAGGTCACGTGCAGGAGCAAGATGGATTGTGGTATCACTGGATCATGAGTGATGTCGACGACTGGAGGTGGGCTTCATCCAGCAGTGGACATATATCGTGACTGACAATGATGATGCTATGTAAATAGTATGCAAATCACGTGCTAATGATACAATTTAGGCGAATGGAGTGTACACAGCTGGACAGATGAGATATTTTTTAAACAAACAATACCAATGAGACAACAAAAACTAGACAAAATAAAACGAATAGATTATTGAATCAAATTGCCACCTTGCATTGTTGACCCACCAGCCGGGACAGTGATTACACCCCAAGTGCATATGCGTGGTTTCATCATTACATTGTACACATGTTATTCACTTGAACAGAGAGATACATGCTCGAGTCAAGGTAAAGGTGCATCCCTGCAATTGCTTGCCCACGCCACGACTGGCAGAAGGGCCTCCGCTCGAGGGAGGGCTAGAGAGTCCATCTAGAGGGTGCTTGGTCTACTCATCCACGCTGGCCTGATGTCTTGTAAGAGGTGAGAGTACTCACACTTTGACCCCCCACACACAACTCTCCAATCAACTCTAATCGTAGAGTAAGTGTAGCCACTGTATATCAGAACAGCGTTAATTTTCATAAATTGTGAGCATTTTTGCAATTTGTTTTATTGTGTAAACAATGTCACCAAATTGTCCATTATTGTCAATGAAGTGAAAGCTTTAAAAAAGCCCATTACCACGATCATTAACCATGCCCTAGAGCAGAAAAAAAACAAGAGGTTAATGTTACAGAAAATCTTGCTCCATCAAAATAACGTTTTTCCATTACCCACCACGTGAACATATAATACGCCTCATTTTAATGTTACAGGGCATGGTCAATGATGGCAGAATCCTGCCGTGGTGTTATGGTTAGCACACCGTACTTGCAAATCCAGAGATCCACCGGTTCAGCTCGTAAATTGGCGTGGCAGTTGAAAACAATGGTGCAATTTTTTGATTATACACCCGGCAGCATAAACGGGGACACCACAGTGAGTCGAATGGCAGGCCGCTCCTTGTGGGGTGCAACATGAATTACGCCCCACCACTTCCAACGCGTCTGACCAGAGTGGAAGAGGAGGCCAAAATACCCTTCTAGACGGGGGCTCCTTGAGACCTTCCTATAGTGGAGGCTCTTATGCCAGCGGTGATGTGAGCAAGATATTGCAGGGCCCTGTCACCCAACTTACCGGGCGAGGCATTGTGGGTAGAGTGTTCATCTCGCGATCAGACAGTCCCAAGTTTTTTTTCTTCTCTTTGTGCCGATATGTGTCCTCTCTCTGTGTGCCGTTGTGATGTCTGTCTGCTTGTATGTCTGTCTATAGTTTTCTAGTTAGATTTTTGTTGCTATTTCTTTTATGCCTGATGATGATTGCTTGTGTTGCAATCGAAACGTCGTAATATGCTATTATTTTAATTTATTATTTTATCTTTAGACGTGACTTAACCGAAAGAAACAAAGAATAATTCCTGCAGTCACGAAAGCTCCAAAATTAAGATTAGTCCCAAGTTTAAATCTCGGTCAGAGGTCAACTCAGATGTCCCTTCAAGGTTGATAGAATCACTTATATTTCATGGGACTTTGCACACTGATTGTCACCCCTGCCATAGTAATGTGATATATTTGTCTGTGGCTCAGGGCCACTAACAGATATGAGCACCACCATTGCTAGCCTGAGCAGGCAAGCGTGGTGGCATTTAAGTTTAAAAATGAGTATTTCACAACAATGTGAAGCATCGATTTGTTAACGTTGAATCATAAACACGCATGCAAGTTAGAGACAACATTGACTTAAAGGAGTATATTGTCTTGGGCAGAACAATCTTACTGGAAGGCAGCATTACCGGTGGTTGTGACTGGAGAGAGAATGTCAGTAAAAGGAGGGAATGCGCCTAAAAATATTGATATATGGAGCGAGTGAAAATTCGGCCATTCACAGGAGCTACACGGATTGTTGCATTGAGACAGCACCGGATGCAGACGTTCACCCAGCAGTAGTTAGATCATAACGATGACGCAATACGCTTATGAGTGAATACTTTTGATCAGTTAATCTTAAAGGCAATAGTGCTCTTGACTTGTGCAGCCTCGAGTATCCACGACATCCACCACAAACTTCAAACCGGATCGATTGTGGCCATTAATTAATCAAATACATAGAATCGCATGAGGGGCGTGGGGGGTGTTGCGGCTGAGTAGTGAATCTGCAGTGATCACGTGTGGACATGTTGGTGGGCATGCTCTGCGTTCACACTCGCGAGTGTCGCCACTGCGCAGGTTTTTCCGCGGTTGTGCCGTGCAGCCCTCCGATGTGCTTTTGGGTTGTGCCGCCGCGGGTTGTTCGGCACTTGACATTTCGTTCCACTTGTGGGGGAGCTTCTTCATATATGTATCTGTGTTGAACTTCTTTTGCACCATATATATGATCAATCATGGATAATTGGAGGTGCGGGGGAAGGACAACAAACCAAACTAAAAAAAGCAATTCGAAAAAAATTGCAGAAGGAAGAGCGTTCCAGATGGCCGCAGAAGCGCGTCTGAGAGCGTGCGATGCAGTGACCGTCTTTGTTCGACGGCTAGCCAAAAGTCGCCACTAGCGAGGATGAGCGCAGTCCGCATGACGGTTTACGCCCCTTGATGAGCTCACCGAGGTACTGCGGTTCATTTGTGGCGAGCACTTTTGACTGTAACGAGCATGACCTTACATCGCGTTCCTTCGTGCGCCAGTGTCGGACAGTTGAAGGGGAGCGCTCACCTTCGCTGAGGGGGTCCAGAGTGTGGATCATGAGCTGGAAAATCCCGTTCCTCATGGTGCTGTTGTGCAGCGAGGCTGAACTGCCACCACGCTGCAGCTGGGGCTTGGGCTTCGAAAGAAAACAAATCAACGAGGGGGCGATGTGTCAACGTATGCGGCCAGATTCATGCCTAGGACGCAAAAGCACAGTTCGCCCTGTGCCGTTCTCTGGTCTGACACTGGTGAGACTAGGCCATAAAGAAAGCTGTCTCTGGTGTAGGCCAATCAGTTTCAAAGACAATGCCATGTTTTATCGGAGCATGTTTTGTTTGCATGTTCACCACAAGTGCGTGTGGTTAATGCAGGACTTGATTCCTTGCTAAAGGTTTATATTTGGTGTTTGAACATCTTATCACCTCCTGTTTTATTGCCAGAAAGGGTAAAAGCGATTCTTATTTTACATACAAAAGCAATCTTGTCGAAAAGGAGTGTAAAATACACCGAGCATCTCATTGTTTAATATTTTGGAAATCACCTTTTGATCTGCTCTGTGTTGTAAAGGAACCTTATTTAACATTCGGGAAATCACCTTCAGATTCGCCGTTTTCATTTTTATATCTGAAGAAAAAGATAAAATGTTGCTTCTGATATACTCTAAAGCGACTCAAGATTCATATGTTAATTTATGGTAATTGACCACCGAACATATATATCTGCAAAATAATTTATTTAAAGCCCTTTCAATTAAGGGATAAGTATTTCTATGTAAATAGACTGAATTGTGTATGGCTCTACAATCTAAGATACATTTTTCGTGTGGCCAACTGAACTTTATTTTCACACACTTGTCAAATGGTGCAGTGCCATCGTAAATTGGTAACACAAATGTATTTATTCTTACGGCATAAAATTATACCGGAATACCACTACAAAACACCAATTTGCAGATGTCAGTTACTACAGATGGAATGTATGAAATTGTTTTTTATGCATAAGATGTAAGACAAATGAGAGCGCTGCATTGTATTTATGATATCCTGTTACAGCGCCATGGGCAAGGAATGTAAATATTCTCTGCGTTAACTCTTAATTGAATGACATTTCCGAAGAATCACACTGAACTCTATTAGGCTCTCAGTACAAGAGTATAATTCAGAAAGAAAAAAAACCATTAATTTGATTTCACTCAATTGTTAAGTTGGAGCTCATTTATCAGTCTTGTACACATTATTAATAACTGAACAGGCAGACCCAATTTTACGGGTTCCACTACCTCACTTAATACGATGACATGACATGTCGACTGGTAGAACAGCCAGCTGCTGGAGTAAAACCCTTTTTTTCCCTGAGGGGACATGTCTCGTTCAAAAACATTGACCCACAGAGTCAGGGTGATTTGATTGCTCCGGTACCTTGAGCTTAGTTTCGTCCACTTCATCACTCATGTTCGTGCCGTTGCTCATCTAGAAGGCATCAGGAAAACCATTGCAACACGACATGGGGAGAACATTAGAATGTAAATCAATATGCTGCAATGCAACACACACACACATTATACACCTCACAATAATAAACACAGTCGGTATTTGGCGGCATGTTTTCGTGTGCGTATGGTGAGCGGCAGTGCAGTGGTTAGCGCACTCCGCTACGAACCTGGGGAACTCAAGTTCGAATCTCGCTCACGGAAACTAACACCAGTGACAATTACATTTCGATTTAAAGCTTTCGTGACTGCAGGGATTCATCTTCTTGGTTCTTTCTGTAAAGTCACGTAGAAGGGAAATAATAAAATAATAAAAATAAAACATAATAACTCAGTTTAATTTTTATCATTTTATTATTTCCCTTCTACGTGATAATAATTATGTTATATTTTTTATTATTATTTCCCTTCTACGTGAATTTACCGAAAGAACCAAGAAGACAGTGACAATTATTTGAACTGTTCCTGGGCATTCCCTAGGTCGATTCAGCATCCAATGAGTACCTGGTGTGTGAACATCGCCACTCGGGAGACAAAGGTGGCGAGGTGTGGTTCTGGCCACCTCCTAGCCCCCTTTCCCCGTGTGCATGTTGGTGCTTGCTAACAGCACTTCTCCCAAGAGTCTGTATAGGGAATAGGTGCACTGATAGCAACCTGGGTTCGATACACGGCCACGACCAACAACATATAATGAGCTGGTCCTGTGCCTCCTCTAAATCTGACGAGCCTTAAATGAGTATGTGAATACTGTACGTGATGTGTCAACAGCAGCACCGAGGAGACAAAAGCAAGTGGACAATTGTGCTGGCCACATCAACTCCATCGGGCGCTGTGAAAGCCTTAATAGGTGCTCACTAACAGCACTTTCTCCAGTAGCCTTGAGGCTACGTGGGGTATTGTTGTGTTGTTGTGGGTGTACGTTTGAGGGTCAGCTGCAAGTGGTGCACCCAGCGGCAATTGTCACGGTATTTAAAACCTGACCTGGCCCTTGATGAGCTTCACTCCACACAAACCATAGCAGATGCACAATTGGAAAATTAAATTCACTTCAGTGTCACAGTGTGCGACTGTGGTCACCTAGAACAGACCATACAACATATAACGACGCAATGCCCAATCCACAAATTCGAAGGAGACATCATAGTGATACACTCTGCTGCTTCTGACTCGGTAATTTGGCTTGACCGCCTGAATGTGAAATTGTCGTTGTTGATCTGTATCTACATGTAAGTATGTTGAACTTATTTTACACCGCCGTGCGAGGCCAACCGTGCTAATCGAAGGTGTGTGAAATAGGAGGTACATGAACCATGCGAAAGAAGAGACTAGCTTGATAACAGAGATATTTTTTGGATTAGATCGCTTAAATATAAATGTGTCGTTAAACCCTCCACCATCCGGCGAAGCATCATACTTGAATTGTAAATGTTGTGGGTTTACTCTCCAACACACTGGTGTCCTGAACTAGTAACGAATTGGCATGTTTTATTTACGTGACAAATCTTACTAATTGGCTGTGTCGGATGGTGGCGGGTTTAACGACACATTTATGTTTACGCAATCTAACCCAAACAATTGTGCCACCTTCTTCCCGATCGCAACGAAGGCAGGGTCATTGATTGGCCACAATTTGTCACGGACCTTGCTTTTAAATCTCGATTTAGACGAACATGCTTGCGTCACTGCATGCAACTTATCAAATTGTGTTTTAAACGTAAACAAATGTATAATACTGCGTTGTTATTATTATTTTAATTCGGCCAACATAATTCATTTCGCACCTGTTTTTGTTTAAAATTCCTTAGTTTATGATGCTCAGAATAATGTCAATTGATGATTAAAAAACGTTATTAGTTTTTACATTTCTATTCGCTTGTCAGCTGTAAGGGATGTTATTTCACGCATATAAAAGGTCCCTGTCATGGGAATGTGGAATCTTCAGCAATGGCTCAGGAACATAACTGTAAAAAAAGAACATTGCCTTGTTGCTCCTGTGAGCAAGCAGGACAAAACCTGCTTGACTTGAACACGTCCGACTGGAGTCATCCTCAGCCTTGTCACGGCCAATTTCTAAGAACGCAATCTGCCATCACAAATTTGTCACTGCTTATTTCCCCTTCACCCAGGAGGCACGCGAGTTAGATAATGCACGTGGAAACTACATGCCGCCGCACACCTGTTTCTACTAATCCTTTGAGGTTCTGCTCTTAAACATTTATAGCTGCTCACAGAAGAGTCAACGTGAGGAAATAGTGGCGTTCATCTCCATTGGTGCACCTGAGGCAGTGTTGGAAAAATTCCACATTGCTATGGCAGGAACCACCGCAACGCGCATGGCAACCACTGATTACTTCACACGAAGAGGCACTGCTTTTATTGACCCAGAAGGGAGACTCCTGATCATCCCATCAAATTTAGAACCTTATGATCATATATCAACCGAGCATTCTAATGTCCCTTTCTGCTTAACGTTCACGGGCATATGTCAGAGTAAGGATGAAGACTTAAACGAGCCACCTGGAAATGCCTCTTTAAACCCCCTTTGCAACATCTCTCCATAAACAGTTTTTCGCGAATGCATGGGTTTTTTTTCTCTCTCTGTTTGTTTGTTGGCATCCCACTGGGATTCTTGCACACAACGTTGGTGCACGGTGCTTTTTGTGGAATATTTTGCTGCCTTTTCCTGGATTTTCTGTTTGCACATAGTCACACAGTCACTTTAATATGTTTTCTTGTTCATGTTTTTGTTTCGTGTTTTTTGTTTGTTGCGGTTGCACCCGATTCAAGAGCCGAATGGCTCACAGGGCTATACCAAATACATGAAACTGAAAACTGAAACTGCTGTTTCCCACCCCCAACTCTCTCTCTCCTCAATCTTCGGTTGTTCACACGCGTAACTATGGCGACTGCGCGAGGAAACGATTGCAAATTAGGTCCTCTTCCTCCTCCTCATCATCATCATCTTCATCCTTCAAGCCCGCGCTATTTTGTCGGAGCAAGAACAAGGTCGCGGGGAAATGAAAGCGTTTATCGGCGGAATGGACACACACACAAAGTATTTTGATCAAAATAGTCGTCGCCATCACCGTCGCCACCACCATCATCATCGTCAATCATCGAGGACTTCCTTTCGCAGGGTGATGAACTCGTGGAGACGACAGGTTACGCACTCTTACACAAGATGCCACGGTCGACTGTGACACACCAAACGGGTGCGGGCTATCGTGTGGTGTGTGTGGTGTGTGTGGGGTGTGTGTGCTGTGTGTGTGTGGTGTGTGTGTGGTGAGTGTGGTGTGTGCGGTGTGTGTGGTGTGTGCTGTGTGTGTGCTGTATGTGTGGTGTGTGTGCGGGGTGTGTGGTGTGTGTGGTGTGTGCTGTGTGCTGTGTGTGTGCTGTATGTGTGGTGTGTGTGCTGTGTGCTGTGTGGTGTGTGTTGTGTGTGCGGTGTGTGGTGTGTGCTGCGTGTGTGGTGTGTGTGTTGTGTGGTGAGTGCTGTGTGTGGTGTGTGTGTGGTGTGTGTGCGCTGTGTGTGGTGTGTGTGTGGTGTGTGTGTGGTGTGTGTGTGGTGTGTGTGTGGTGTGTGTGTGGTGTGTGTGTGGTGTGTGTGTGGTGTGTGTGTGGTGTGTGTGTGGTGTGTGTGTGGTGTGTGTGTGGTGTGTGTGTGGTGTGTGTGTGGTGTGTGTGTGGTGTGTGTGTGGTGTGTGTGTGGTGTGTGTGTGGTGTGTGTGTGGTGTGTGTGTGGTGTGTGTGTGGTGTGTGTGTGGTGTGTGTGTGGTGTGTGTGGTGTGTGTGTGGTGTGTGTGTGGTGTGTGTGTGGTGTGTGTGGTGTGTGGTGTGTGTGCGCTGTGTGTGGTGTGGTGTGTGTGGTGTGTGTGCGCTGTGTGCGGGGAGCGGTGGCGCAACAGTTAGCGCGCTGAGCTACAAAACCCGGCGGCGATCCGAGTTCGATTCCCGCTCAAGGACAACACAAAGTGACAATTATCTGAACCGGTCCTGGGGCCTCCCCCTAGGTCGACTCGGCCTCAAATGAGTACCTGCTGCGGTGTGTAGTAAACGTCGCCACTTGGGGAGACAAAGGCGGTCGGGCGTGTTACTGGCCACACCCACCCCCCTCCTTGTGCCGTGCCGGCCTTTCACACGCGCTAACGGCACTTGCCCCAAGAGTCTGTTCCAGGCTACACGGGGGATCTTTGTCTTTGTTGTTCCCACGCATCTGGTCTTCGCAGTCGCGCACGTGAGTCGTGGCGACAGCGAACGGCACCGGCCGCCACTCACACGGTCGTCAAACCGATGCGTGCCCACTCCCAATGTCACTAAAGCAACTTGGCACGGCAAACTGATGACAGCGCTGATGATGGCGATGATGGTAAACGACCTTCCCGATCATCATCACCATTATCATCGATGGTGGTGGTGGAGACAGGAGTGATGACAAACGCAGCGGCGATGAGCATCGATTTCATCGCGATGAAGCTCTTTATTGCACAGCGTGACCTTCTCACGAAACAATACGTGGAGTTGAAGTGAAGGCCCTACAGGATTTGTCGATTGTAACTTTCCATTTTTGCTCATTGTAATTGCCACGCAAAGCAAGGGTTGTCACTAATTATTTATGGCGCACTGCACTCTCCACACCAGCAGAAGGGTAATCCGTCACATTCTATTTGCAACTTGATGGAAATTTCAAGCATTTCCTACAATCATCCCATTAATCTATTACATTTTCCAGAGGAAACTCAGCCAATCGATAGCAAATCCTATCCTGACCGCGCAAAAATTCATAAAGGACAAAGATCCCCGTTTAAATTTCAGACTGTTGAGGCAAGTTGGTGTTTGCGAGCACCTGTTAAGGCCAGCATGACGCAAAGTGCACCGCACCAGATCGATTTCATGTTAAATTTATACATAAGGGGCCGTCCATAAATGACGTCACGCACCTAGGGGGGGGGGGGCAGACATTTGTGACGATGTGTGACGAGG